GAGACTGAGGGCTGTTTGAGGAAAAGGACTCATTATCTTTGGACCCAGTATTTAAGCGACAGGTCTATTCTTTCCCAAATTTTCTACATAGTAATTTCTATTCACACTTTAAAATCCAGTTCGAAGACTACTTCTGGTGTGAGAAGTCTGGACTGTTACCCCCACAAACACAGAAATATAAAACTGGACAAATTATTAAAACAACCATTTCAAGGCAAGCAACAACTGTTTCGAGAAGTGTTTATTTATGTAGAACTGCTACTGCATTGTGCCAATTCATAGCTGATAAGCACATAGAAAGATACTCAACATCATTAGTCACAAGGGAAATATAAATGAAAACTACAATGGAGTATTAGTACACACCCACCAGAATAGCTACAGTTGAAAAGACTGATAATACCAAGTGGAAATGGTGGATGTGGAGCCATTGGAAATGTCATACATTGCTGGTGGGAATGCAAAATGGTACACTCAATTTTGAAAGTTTGTGGGTTTTTAAAAAATTAAATATACACTATACTCCTAGTTATATACCCAAGAGAAATGGAAATATGTCCACAAAAAGACTATGAATGTTTATATAATAGCAACAATGTTCATTATGGCCAAAAAATAATAGAAGCAACCTAAATGTTTACCAACTCAAGTGTGAATATGAATAAACACGATGGCATATTACTCAGTGATAAAGAACTAATACATGCAAAAACATGGATGAAACTCAAAAGTATTGTGCTAAATTAGAGACTCCATTCAAAATCCTAGAAAAGACATACTTGAGAATGCAGATCAGTGGTTGCCTGAGGTTTGCAAGGATTGACTGGAAAGGGATATGAGGGAATTTGGGGGACACTGGAACTATTTTTTTTTTTTTTGAGACAGAGTCTCACTTTGTTGCCCAGGCTAGAGTGAGTGCCATGGCATCAGCCTAGCTCACAGCAACCTCAAACTGCTGGTCTCAAGCAATCCTCCTGCCTCAGCCTCCCGAGTAGCTGGGACTACAGGCATGCGCTACCATGCCCGGCTAATTTTTTCTCTATATATTAGTTGGCCAATTAATTTCTTTCTATTTATAGTAGAGACGGGTCTTGCTCTTGCTTAGGCTGGTTTTGAACTACTGACCTTGAGCAATCCACCCTCCTCGACCTCCCAGAGGGCTAGGATTACAGGCGTGAGCCAGCGTGCCTGGCCAACTGGAACTATTTTAACACTTGCTTGTGGTGGTCATTGCAAGACTATGCATTTATCAAACTGAACAAATTATACTTAAAATGGGTAAATCGTATTATATGCAAATTATACCTCAATAAAGCTTTTAAAGAATGGGAAAGCATTCAATTAAACTATGCTTGTACATGTAAACTATTTCACATTGTGTTGTAAAAATATTTTGTTTCCATTTTTGTCTTTCCACAAGACTGAACTCTTTGAGAGTAGAGCTTAGTTTATTTTTTTAATCTTTATCACTTAGCCCATTGTCTGTCTTATAGCTACACATTAAAATATGCAACGAATAAGTGGTTGGGTAAATGCATAAATGAATGAGTGAGTGACTGAATAAATGGGTTGGGCCATATGATCTCTGTAATTACTTCCTGGCTCTGAGATTCTAGGATTCTAAACTCGCTGTGTCTATTCAATGAACCATTATACAAGAAAAATGTTATGGCCTTAGAAAAAAGTAAGAATGCAGTTAAATTCCAGTTTTTATGTGGAATAAAAATCATGAATCTAAATATCATCCTATGGTTTATGTCAGAAAATTCAGCTTATCTTTTTGGTTAAAACTGTTCTGATTAAAAATAGTCTGATGAATATAATGGTACACTATCAAACATTGAGGTGGGGGAGTACCAATTAACGTGAAAAGGAGTGTGGGAAGGTTCAAAAGAAAAAAGAAAAGGAGTGGAAATCATAAAATGAGAGCCTATAAGTTTAAGATATACTTCAGACATACTGTACAATAAAATTTACCCAAAACTGAGTATTACTTTTTAACCACTTCGGTACCAGTGTCGACTATAGTTGACAGCCACAGATGAACTCAAGGGTCGACTTTAGCCGACAGCGAAAAGCCTTTACTTTTATCTCTGCAGTTGCAGTGTGTATAATTAGCTGGCCTATCTGCAGAGCTAAACAACAGCGTTTACCCTAAAGGATATTACTGCAGGGGGTCAGAAGGAGAATGGAGTTAATCACGCTAAGCCTCCTTTCCAGCATTGCATTCACGTCCTATGCTCTAGTACCAAGAAATGGCCCATACCAAGCTTTCTTATGCCAACAAGATTATCAAGCCAGTGGCTGAGAGAGATGAATAAGATTCTTTTTTGAGAGAGTGTAATGTAGGCCAAAGTAGTCCTTCTTCCCTGGGCCAAGGAAGAATATGAACAAGCAGAGGAAAAGGGGTCCCCTAACTAGAGCAGCCCCCACAATGGAGCACTTCTCTAGCTCTGTCTCCAACACCACTCATCTTGGAAAACTTACTGTATCAAAAAGAGGTTGTATTTTTTTTTTTTTTTTATTTCTTCTTGCGTAGGGGTGAGTGAATGTATTTTTTTTTTTAAATTTGCTCACTGCATGTATGACTTTTTCTACTTTCTCCAATGAGAGTCTTTCCCGGGTGTGTCTGCTGAAGTTTAGACAGCACCCTCAGCATCCATTCAAGTATGCCAGTGGTTCTCAAACTGGAGGGCTTATTGAACTACAGTTGGCCGGGTCCCACCTCCAGGGTCTTTGACTCAGAGTATAAAATGGGAACTGATAATTTGCATTTCTAACATATTCTGATGTGGTACTGGTGCTGCTGCTTCCAGGCACCACACTTGGAGAACCACTGAAATTGGCAGTTACCATTTGCCCCAGTGTGAAGAAAACTCAATTTACCAGTCATGAAACTGAAATCAATAACACATTAACCACCCCATATGCCTGGTTAGCCTGGCCCCAGTCGCTTCTAGGTGCTCTTTGCATGACTCCCTTTGTTGTGCCCCAAACCCTCATTACTCTTGAGCTTGATTATTTTTGTAGAGGTGAGGTCTCACTATATTGGCCAGCCTGGTCTTGAACTCCTGGCCTCAAGTGATCCTCCTGCCTCAGCCTCCCAAAGTGCTGGGATTACAGGTCCTGAGCTTTAGAGCCAAGGTTTTTCTTCAGCCCATTCAGTTTGTTTTCCCTCCTACTTCTGCTTCAACTCCATAGATCTTTGAGAGAGAGGTTGTCACCCTAGTTCTGTGCAGGTCCACTTACTCCAACCTCAGGGCAGAGCTACTTTCCTCCCATTCCTCTGGCCCCTGACATGTTAGTATCCCCAGGGTTCATCAGGACTTCCCTGACCTCAGATGTTTGCACCTCCCCTTCCTTTCCTGAGCTGAGTGCCTACCTGTATAACCACATCCTGGATTCTCTAGCCTGCTGGTTTTCTCTGGTCCGTGTTGCTGCTCAGCAGAAGGTCTGGGAACCTGGACCTCGGCTCTGGATCACAGCATACCAGGACCTCTGACATGCCCTTCACCCATCCCCTCTAGCTTTATTCTCTCTGCAAAAGTTCCTGCTCTTCTCTTCTGTGTCCCCACACTGTGGTCCAAGTCTGAGTCACCCATTGTCATGCCCTGCACCCCTCCCCCCCGGCCCATCTTCCTCTATAATATTGCCAAGGACACTAAGACATGCTGTTACATTGATTCTAATGCACTTCTTTTGCCCCCAGTCAGGCTGATTACCCCTCAAGGCCATCAAGGCTTTGGGAGAAGAGGGTTTCTGTCTTGGGGATGGGCTGCAGTGGACAAAGTTAACCTATGTTCAGGTTTCTAATCAGTTAAAAGCTTATAATATTGTATAAAAACTTTTACTCTACCCCAAACTAAGTGTTATACTACTTTTTGATGAAATATAAGGTCCTTTAAAATGCCTTTGTCATTGTGAATATTATTTATTATGGCTAATTGAAAATGCAAAAATTTGAAATTAGTAGATTTTTCTGGTTGATAGCATGATGGATATGTCAGGCTTTTACTCTACTGGAAAGGAGATAAAATAGAATAACGTCTTCCATGTACTCAGTGAAAATCAGGCGTAGGCCTCCATGGCCTATATGTCAGGGTGTTAACAGTGCTGAAAACTTGCTGACATATGAAACTACTTAGTGAAGTATAATTATGAAAGCCCAATTAATAGTTTAAAAGCATTAACATTAAAATTATTCTATTCTATCTAGAAGACCAGGGCATGTAATTAATCATCACCACAATATGCACTTAATTTTATCCTAAACCTAAGGAGGACCATCATCCCTATCTATCCAATTAGAAAATTCTTGCCCTACTGAAAAGATAGTAAAAAATCTGCTATATTCAACTATATTTGTATTTTATCTAGATTAAAACTATATTATTTCTTTGAGGCTTAAAAATTATACATCACAGATACAAAAAGAATTTGCAGCAACATTTCAAAACAGGAAAAGAACCATTTATGTTTTCATAAAACACAACTGATTTATGAAGAAAGAGGGATATCTTTCTTTGAAAATTACCTCCAAAGAGTTTTAGGGTCCAGCCACCATTATCATCACTTTATACAAAATGGTCCAGTGTAGGCTACAGTCAATTGCTACACAATTTTTTATCCATCAAGGCTTAATGGAAAGAAGATGAAAAGGAAATATAAATTCAAAATCTCTGTTCATGGTCTAATGGCTTATTATTCAGCCAACTCTATATGCAGAAAGCCTTCATTAGTACACCATTAAGGATGGCATTAAAACTTCTGGTCTGTTCTTGTGAGCTGTAAGTTATGTCGGACATAACAAATTTTACTTGCACTCCTTCAGATCTGATATCTGTATCTATAAATATCGATTGTGTTAGTTATATCCAGCTATAGGAATGTAATGGCACAGAATAGAAAAAAGATATGTTCCTTAGTTTGAAAAAATTCCTTCTTGAAAGCATAGAATTTGATGAATTAAAAAAAAAAAAGAGAGATAAGGGGCAAAAGAGTAATGAAATGGATTTTAATTACTCCTTTAATGCCTCCATTGAAGTTCCAAAGGACAGACTCACTATTTGGCACAAGAGTAAACATGTCCAGGAGTTTCTGTCAACATTGTGACCTTCCGTTCGATGGCATGTGTGATCTCCAGGCAGATGTGGGTCATTTTCTGAAAGATGCTGCTGTAACATGCTCTCCATTCTAAATTTCCCCTAGGCAGGAGTTTGGGGGTCTAACCGCTCTCATTCCCAGCCTTTCCTTATGGGGCATTTGAGGAAGCAGCACAAATCTTCTTCACACTAAATATTCCATTTTGATAGCGAAGGTTGGTTCCCAGAACTTTCCATTCAAACTAAAGACCTATTGGCATTTAAAGTTCTTTTTATTAGGAAGCTGCTTAGGGTATTTTTCCCATAATGGCTTTGTTGGAAAGTATAGAATTCCTTGTTTCTGAATTGGTAAATGAAGTTTCCAAATGGGCAAGGAGGCATGAAATTCGGGGCACTGTCTCCTAACCCCTTCCTGTCCACTCTGCTCTTGTTCTCATATCCCCAGCCACCTCTGGCTCACACCTGGCCACACTCCATAAGCAGTTCTGGCCGTGGGCAGAGGGTCCAGAACTTCCCAGTCTGTGAACTTCTAGCGTTTGCTCCTGATCCTTGATTCTACTGTCCCCTAACCCAGGTCAGCCTCACTGGAGTCTTGGTTGTCTGTTCTCTGTTCTTGGACTTGATCGTGTTCCTCATCTCCCAGGCCTGAGGTGTCCTGTTGCCGCCCAAGTCCAGAGCAAAAGGACAGCCAAGTCCAAACTACTGTTGTGCTACCAGAAAACTCTGTGACTTCAGGTGAGCTGCTGAGCCCACCCTGGACTCAGTCCCTTTTTCTGTGACACCAGTTGTTGTCCTGGATCATCTCTAGGGTCTCTAAGAACTGGAAACCCCTAGAAGCTATGTATGAGCTTCTCCCCTGCTTCTTTCCACCCTTCGTCTTCTGTCTGACTCGGTTTCAGGCAAATAGCCACGAGTGGAAAGTGCTGTGACAGGCAGGTAGGACTCCGACACCCATTTAAAAAGAAAAACTTGTAAAGATAATGGCATTTCGTCTTTATTTGCACCGCATGGTGGAGTTAGTTTACAGGGGTGTGAGGCAGTGTGTTTGGGGCTGCGCTTCATGGCTGCGTAGCTGTGTTCCCAGCGTTGGAAGGTAGCTCCTCCACATAAGCAGCAGGAAAATGGCCTTTTCTTCCATTTAAAGATCCAAACCACCATCCTTCTTCTTTTTTCTCATGTATAATCACAATGTCGCCTGTGAAAATAGGCACTTAGTTAGACAAATAGGTCTCTGCGATTGGAACATATGCCCGAGCCTGGTTGCTAAAGAGTTTTAAGGAGATTTTGCTTTCAAGGAGTTAATTGGAAGTGTGAGAATACTTTCTGCACTTGATTCAGAGGAAGCAAAATTTATTGAACACCTCTGTATGAAGCAGACCTAATCCAAAGAACCATAAAAAGAGTAAGATAATGAACAACTGCGCTATGCCATAAAATGGTTTGCTTAAACAGAGAATCACACTGGATCATAGGTCCTTTTTGTGTTGCCTGGCTCAGTTTGGATACAGCTGATGGATTGTCACCAAACTCTTTCTTAGTGTCCATACTTTGCGGGTTTCACATGTTGGTGGCCATGACAGTGTGGTGTGTTGACATCTGTGGGTACGTCTCACCTAACAGTCTTTTCTTAAGATCAAGATAACCCACCTCCATGCCTCCATCACACCTGGTTTCATGGTCCAAAATCCTAACTCACAGCTTTGCACAGAAATATCCAACAATTTAGATAACTTGAATACAACATCAGTTTGAAGACTGATCATTGCTTATTTGAATTTTTTAAAGCAATGATTCAAATAAATAGAATTCCTAAGAAACATGGCTCTTGTCCAATTCTCTTGTTTTTTTTTTTTTTTTAAATATGACATTAATAACTCTGAAATTTAACCTAGTGTCTGTCCCAAGTACTTTGGCTAAGCTCCTGGAGAGACAGAAAGAGTCCTGTCTTCCTGGCTGCTTCCTGTACCTCAAAGTAGAAACCTCTGCTTCCTTTAGGATCTAAGAGCTACTTTTTCTTTAGCATCATTCTGAGGTAATTTTTCAGTCTTTTTGGTTTTTTTCATTCTTTCTCCCAGCCATTTTCTTTCTAAGGCAAAGGAGACCAGTAACCCCCTTTCTATCTTTTCTTGTCATAAATCACCATTTATTCTTGTAGGAAATGATTCTCAGTATAAGTTCCCTCTCTAATGGCTTTTCTTAGGTCAGGATTATTTGACATAATCTATTAGCAGGAAGTCAAGCAAATGATTTAAAATGGTATTGCCAGCTTCCCTAAGCCCCCCAGTGTTGTACTTCATGTAAAGAAACTACTTAGAATATAAAGTGTAAGTAGGCTCTGCAGCCAACAGGGAGCTGAGAACAAACAACGATTTATTGTGAACTATGTGACACAAATGCAGGACTCACGGGTTCTAGTTGTTATCTGGGAAATAGGTTTTTTATTCATATAGGAGGAAAAGTGTGACTGGCACACTAAAAAGAAATACCCAGTAAACAATAGCCAATATGTGGTGTCCTTGTGGTTTGGCTACATAATCTATCTTGATTTTCTGCTTGCTCTGGAGCTGTGTCCTGGTCACGGGTAATTGGCATTCTCCTGTGACATAACTCTTTTTCACTAACCCTTCCGTTTCCAGATCTCTGCCTTAGTGCTGACGTCTAAATGTGTTGCCAGCTGGACACACAAGGAAAGTTGAGGCTGGAGGCTTTTTCTTGTTTAATAGTATTAAAGTTTATATAACCCACTACGCAGTACCTTTCCACGTTAAATAAAAATCTGGGACACAAAGAAGGGGATCTCACTCTTTAGATGGGCCATAAAAAGCTTTCCCGAGGGCTAACTGTTGACCCAGGTTCTAGAACTTGCTCTTACAGTAAGTGAAGAGAGGAAGTCACTTCACATTCCTATGTGTCTAGCTTCTGAAAAACAAAAAGGTAGGTTACATGTTGAATGACTGTCCCTTACTGACATTTTCCACCCCAGTGTAGCACTGTGTCAGGAGCGTGACTGAGTTTCTGAGTTCGAATCCTGTGCTGCCACTGTAATGTGACTTTAGCCAAAGTATTTAACTTTTCTGTGCCTCAGTCTCCTCAGCTACATACTGGGAACAAATAACGATACCTACTGCAGAGGGTGCTTATGAATATTCAGTTGGACAACCTGCCTGCAACAATGTCTGGCACATAGTAAATACAGAATCAGTGTTCGCTGCTATGATTATATGAGCTTTAGTTTTTGATGTGCTTTACATTTATCTTCTAAGAAGGGGGATTATAGACCTGAACTGATTTGACATGATAGTATTAATAGCTCTGAAGGCTGCCATGCTAAGTTAGGGTTTTATGCACAGTAAGGATATCAATATGGAAAAGCAATTAAAACATTGAGAATGACTCTTACCTTTTTCCAAGTTCAACTCATCATCTTGCCTGGCTTGAAAAGAATATAAAGCTTTGCATAGATGGTTGCTGGACTTGGTGGCACCAGAGGCTGGAAGTTGGATTAAGTTGTAATTACTACGCTGTGTAAATCAGGCAAGATGAATATCACTGGCAGCTCTTTGGTTATTTAACAATGTGGTGCAGAGTTTAAATATATCGAAATTTTCTCAAAAGCAACGTTTATAACTTTACATAATTTTCATTCCTTGATTCAATAACCATTTATGATATACTGTCTATATGTATGGGCTATGTATATTATATAATCAAAAACTATATTATAATATAGAAAATAATAAGTCTGGAGGAAAATGTTATTGTATTAATAATAGTAATAAAGATGACAATATCATTGCCCATATGCATTTAGTCAACATTGGTTAGATGATATGTGTGTCAGTTGCATGCATATTTTGGAAAATATATACTAGCTTTGCCATTCAGGTATAGATAAGGAATATTTAGAGCATGTGCTAGTTGCTTATGGAACTGTTTCTCAAACAATGCAATGGTGACTCTTTAATATATTGTGTGGACCAAAATGTCCTGGTTTCACTGAAACTCTTTTTTGACAATTTCTAATCAAGAAACTAGAGTCAAGATTATGGTAGTTATAGTTGAACAATCTGGGATAATGATGTGTGTGTGTGTGTGTGTGTGTGTGTGTGTGTGTGTGTGTGTGTGCCTGTGTTGAAAGGTGAAGGGCAGTGGGGAGTGGATGGACAAACAGCTAATGTCAGATGGCTGAATAAAGGCGGTTTGTAGGCATGAGTTCCAAGCCCAAATGTAGCCCTGGAAAACCACCTGGATCACCATGTTTCTTGCAGAGAGGACAGGCTTGCCGTGTGAGTTTGGAGGAGGCCATGGAGACAGAGCTGCAAAGCTCCTCACAGTGGTTTAGGGGTTATTGCATGCATGGCAAATTATAGGCTATTTGAATAAAGTGGATGCCAGTTATCTAAAATCTGATTTTTAGATAATTAAAATCTCATGTTATCCAATACTTTTTACACATTATACATATGTATAATACATACATATAATACATATTATATAACACTTTTCCCAATGCCCTACTCTTCTTGATTCCTTCCCACCTTTGTTATTACATTGGTAAATAAAGCTACAGCTTCTAACAGATTAATCAGTCCCAATGGAAATATAAATTTCTTTGAACAGATACAAATCAATGTGGCTCTGAAAATAAAATTTAAATGTAGCAATGTGCCTCACCCAGAGGACCCAGCCCCAAACTATTTTGGGCCAGAGATTACCTGGAGATGAAGAACTCAGATTCGTCCTCTGGCCATCAGAAGATGCCCTGCTCAACACATTGTCTAATCTCTTCATCAAAGAAGGCCGAGATATCTTTACATAACTATGAGTATGCTCCTGTTCAAATAGTTTGAAAAAGCCATTTTTAACACTATTATCGTAAGTATTTGTGAAAATTAACTCTTCCGTAGCTGTCTTCCTCAGGAATTTGTTTTTTTTAATTGGAGAGTGTACAAATAAATTATTCAATACATTTCTAAGCCCTACTAGGTTTTAGCTTTAAGCCGAAACCTTAATATTTTCAGAATTAGACAATTACTGTATTTTATAGCCCGTGTTTCCAATTCTGACCTGAATGAATGTCTAGGCCAAATCATAACATTCACAGCATCACTTCTACAAATCCAACTTTAATTAATTGGCTTAATGCAAATGAAATGATCATGACTATCTAAATTATTGAGATCATTTTAGAGCTCCTGAGCCTCTTAGAAAGAAAATCATCCCTTCATCATGAGACAGCTACAGCTCCCTTCTGACTGGTAATGGAAAACAGCCACAAGCAACAGCAACGACGCACCTTCACCCACTCATCAATTCCTCATGTGTACAACACTGGGAAAATATGGTGTGGGACTCTTTACGGTTGCATTCATGCATTAGCTACGTTATCCACTATGTTCAGCAGATGAGACTAATTCATGTCACAAAATCTTACGATTTAGGTCTGTGCGAATACTAAAATTTCAACACTTAGGGGAAATCTTACTTTATAAGCATGTTCAAAGGATAAAGTTAAGGTATGAGGAGAGAGAAGAAATCCAAAGTGTTTTTAACTCCTCATAGTAATTTAGCCTATAAAGAATGTATTCAGTTGTGTCTAGCTTTTTATTGAGCGCACAAGGAATAAAAATAAATTTATCTCGAAATTCTGCAATTAGGACTTGGGACGCCATATAGCATATATAATTCATAACAGTTTTTTGGCCCTGTGGCTACTTTAAGCCACCCCACCCAGGAGGCCCCATCGAGAAATTATAACCAATCTCTTCAAATTTTACCTTTTCTTTCCACTTGAAGATGGAGGTACTACAGGGATGGCTGGGTTTAGGTCTTTGCTCAAGTTCTGCTAATACTGATGACAGTTTATAGGAGTTCGCTTCCAAAAGGTCTAGTTTCAAATTGTTCTGTGGATACATCATTTGGCCACGTGAATAAAGTTCTAGAAAATGAGGCACAGCTGGAGAGGTAAGGAATATCAGGATAACGTTCACAATGACAGAGGGGTTAGAAAAGTACACATTCAGCTCACGCACAGATATGCGTGGAAAATGCTGAAGAGAAAAATGAGGGGGACTCTTCAAGCAGTCTAGAGGGAAGTTTTAGTTGCTGAGTGTGTCTTATTCAGTATCTTGTAAATGGGGTGAATGGGAAACCTTGGCAGATAGATCACTCAGTATCCTGTAGCAATGAATAGCTTTACTTAATTTTCTGCTGAAGGACAAGAAAAGAAATAGTAAGTGCTGACTGCAGAAAGTAGACTTTTGGTGGGCTGGGGGAAAGAAAAGTTGGGCCCTAGGTGCTCAATATTATGAGCAGAACTGAATTAAGATCAACAGAATAAAAGGAATATGAGAGTTTTGGGTTGTTAGTTTTGTTTTGTTTGGGTTTTCTGAGGTCATGGGGTCTCAGGTTACCCAGGAAATTTGTATTAACTCTCCTGGAAACTGGAAACAATATTCTGGGGTATTCAAGTCTAAAAATAATGAGTGAAGCTAAAGATAAATTCTTAGTCTTTTCTTGTTCTTGATTTGGCCTTAAACTAGCAACTTTATAATTACTTCTTCGTCAGGCTGTGTTTAGCCAGAGTAAATAGAATAACAGAATCTAGACATTGGAAGTGTCCTGCTCATCCAATGTCCTCCTCACCATTATCCCTCTTTTCTCCATGCCTCCAACCCAGGATTCCTAACCCTAAACTCCCTGCTAGAGAGTCACAGCTGTGGTCAGAACAGCTCCAATTGATGGGGAAAGTCTCTAATTCTTGGGCCAATCCACTGCATTGTGGAGCAGGCTTACCTTACCCGAAATCAAAAGTTCCCTCACCCTTCAACCATTAGACACAGTTTTCATCTGATAGTCAGAGAGCAAGTCTACTTCATCTCATATGTGGCACTCTTTCCAGTATCTGAAGACAATAGCTACTCTAAGTGCCTCCAGTTTCTGCAATCATTTCTTATAACACGCCTTGCCAACATTCTTGATTCAAATATGGCATTTCCATATTTGAAATAGGAAAGAATTTAAATGAAACAGAGTTCCCTTGTCCAAGAAACCTTCCCTGGGTAACACAAAATCTACCAATACCACTAGTTTCCCTCTACCCAGATGCAGAGCATGTGTAAGGAAGTTACACAGATACTTGGCATCCATTCTTTGAAGGTTCCTGCTTGCTCCTCAACTAGATCATGAACATCAGAAGTTCAGGGGTCAGATCCTCTCCCTCCACTGTGTGCCTCAGGCTAGTTGTGTACCCAGATGATCCTAATACATGCTCTTTGATGGTAATGACAGTGACAGAATGCTGTGCAAGTACAATCAAAAAGTAAACTTATAACTCAATGGCATCACAAAATGCTCTTTATGACTTTACTTTGCTAAATATTATTTTCATTGCATTAGTTAACTAAACATTTTGTGCGTGCTATCACAGAAAATGTCCTACAGTCTGTTTTATAATTTCATAAAAATTGTTGCCATGCGTCATTGCAAGTATGTTAGACCCCTGTTCCAAGTGAACAGATTGCAGGCCTTTCTTTTCACAAGAAGTGTTAGGTTTGTTTCTGCAACAGCATTCCCACTAAAGGAAGCCTATACCTAAAAAATCAGTCAACTGTATACCTGGCTGCATCTGTCTACTTTCACCAAAGAACTACTGAAATTGCCAGTTGGGGTGCTTACTTTCACGAGAGAGTTGAGCTATATGCAAGGGAAAGAAAGCTAGCCCAGATTCCTGTATCCTTCAAAACATTTCTAAAAAAATTTCTTGCTTCCTGAATTCTTCTTAGATTAACTCAAGTCCACTTCTGATCACTCTAAAGGGAGTAGAAACCCATATCTTGCAAACGTAGGTAACATATATCTGTTCATTTTTATCCCTACATAAAATGCATGGGTCTTTTGCTACCTGCCCTTTTAATGTGGGTTCCCCCAAAGCAACTAACATGTCCACTGTCCCTAAGAGTGTCTGGGTTGCTACTGGAGTCCAGGTGCTCAGCAAAAAGGCCAACAGGCCTACCTACCCTCTGTCTCCTCTGACCATCTCCCTGCCCCACCCTTACCCCCAGGAAACCTCGCCTGCAGCCTGCAAAGTTGCTCATTTCCTCACAAGCTTTTGCCTCACACCCAGGCTGACCTCTCCTTTCTGTGCACCTTGTCTTTCCTTTCTCCTGCCACTCTCCCAGGACCCTGATGTCAGTTGAGGGGTGAATGGAAAATAGCATCTTAATAAAAGTTACTGATTTTTGAGCTCCTCCTCTGAGTACTGTGCTAGCATTTCCTAAACAATATTTCACGCTCACAAAAGCCCTAGAGGTAGGTAGCGATACCCCCATTTTACAGGTGAGCAAACTGAAGTCGTCCCAGGTCCCTATAAACAGAGCTAAATCCAAATACAGGTCTTTCTGAATGCAGATCCTGTATTTTCACTCACGTTTCTTTTTTTGTTTTTTTTTTTTTTTTTTTTTTTTTTTTTGAGACAGAGTCTCACTTTGTTGTCCAGGCTAGAGTGAGTGCCGTGGCGTCAGCCTAGCTCACAGCAACCTCAATCTCCTGGGCTCAAGCGATCCTCCTGCCTCAGCCTCCCGAGTAGCTGGGACTACAGGCATGAGCCACCATGCCCGGCTACTTTTTTATATATATATATATCAGTTGGCCAATTAATTTCTTTCTATTTATAGTAGAGACGGGGTCTCGCTCTTGCTCAGGCTGGTTTTGAACTCCTGACCTTGAGCAATCCGCCCGCCTCGGCCTCCCAAGAGCTAGGATTACAGGCGTGAGCCACAGTGCCCGGCCAACGTTTCTTAACTGGGTTACAGTGCTCATGGTTTCTAGGCCCGTAAAGAATGACTCTAAAATGGAGAATGTTATTTGAGACACAGTTCTTTTCCTAAAAGGACACTAAAGCAAACATTTCTAGGTAGTTAGACTTTTCCCAGATCCCTCAAACTTCATAAAGGAGCTGACCCTGTAAGCTGTCCCACTAGATTGTTCTATGTCACGAGAAAGGAAAGGCAAACAGAAGTCTGATGGACCAGAAAATAAGTGCTCTAAAAATAACCCTTTCATCACTAAATCTAGGAGAGTGCATTCTGCAAATATTTACCTCGTCCATTAACACTGCTGTCTCTTTCTGGCTCTTGGTGTCGGAGAAGGAGGAGTTGCTGGAGTATGTATTGAGCATTCGTTGCAGGCCTGAAAATGAAATCACACTCTCAGTTTACCTTTCATCCCATCCTAGTGGGACACGGCAGGAGTCTGTCACTCTCAAGGGGAGCCTGAACCTAGAAGTGACAGCAAAACTTCCTAAATGGCCGGGCGCTGTGGCTCACGCCTGTAATCCTAGCTCTTGGGAGGCCGAGGCGGGCGGATTGCTCAAGGTCAGGAGTTCAAAACCAGCCTGAGCAAGAGCGAGACCCCGTCTCTACTACAAATAGAAAGAAATTAATTGGCCAACTGATATATATATAAAAAATTAGCCGGGCATGGTGGCGCATGCCTGTAGTCCCAGCTACTCGGGAGGCTGAGGCAGAAGGATCACTCGAGCCCAGGAGTTTGAGGTTGCTGTGAGCTAGGCTGACGCCACGGCACTCACTCTAGCCTGGGCAACAAAGCGAGACTCTGTCTCAAAAAAAAAAAAAAAAAAACTTCCTAAATGACTGAGGGGGTTTCTGTAAGTAGTGGTTACTAAATTTTAGTGAATGAATAATGATAAATGAACTGATTGTTCACTTATCTTTATCTTCCTTTAATGAAATTTGAGAAATGCTGGTGCTTAGTGTCCTGATTGTTGTCAAGATGAGATTTTGAATTTCTCTTGGTTGAACCATTCCAGCAATTCCCAATGTTTACACAATGTTAGCCTCTTCCTCATAATGGTATTTACATCACTAACCATGTCCTGTCTTGGATTTCCTACCCAGTATTACACTGCAATGAGTTATTGTGATTCGCATAAAACAAACTACTGTCTACATAGCAGAATCACAAGTGTGGAGTCTTTTCTTTTTTTATCATCTTCATTGCTTTAGAGCTGCTTCACATTCTAAAATGCCTAACTTCTAAGTATAGGCTTTAATCTGAATGACTGTTTACATTGTTTCAAAAGTTAGTAAAAGCAAATAAACAAACAGAAAATCCCAAGTGTTCTGTGCACAGGTTTACCGTGTTTAAAATCAAACAAATTGTCTCTCCAGCCAATTTCAGAAACGCAGTAAAATGCAACATTCCTGAAAACAGTAGTGTAGTACTTATATAGATCTCCCAAATAGACCAAAATGTCATTTTCTAATTTTTTTTGCTCTCTCTCTTTTTCCTTTTTCTTTATTCACACAACTTAGGTTTGATATATGGTTCTTTAAATGAAATGATCCCCGCCCAAGTCAGCAAAAGCAGATTAATCCTAACTCTGAGTGGTAATTACACACCTTCCTTGTCTCTTGAGGCCTTTTCAATATCTTTTTGCAGTCTCAACAATTTTGGTTTTATGAAAGTCTTCCGTCTGTCTTTATCCATTGTATTGTTAGGATCTTCCTCCTTTAGGGAAAAAAAAAATAATGTTTAACAACTTACGGGGACAAAAGTAAGAGTTGCTACTCCCAGTTACACTGAGACTTTCACTGGCTGCATTTAATTTTAACTTTACAAAAAGAAAAAAGGTGAAAAAATAAAAGCAGGATAATCTTTGATTTTACATATATTGTTCTACCTGTTCTAGACCTGCCTAATAAGGAAACATCCTTGTAAGTACATGGCTGAGCACCTTCTATAATAAAAAGCCTTACTATAGTTATTTCAGTGTCTTAATTAATCCATTTGTTGTATACATATTGCTCCTTATTACCCTTTATTCAAGTTAGAACCCTTTAATGGTTCAAATATTAAATGATGTTTGTGTTTTGGGCTACACCTGCCTCAGGAGTGGAAGGAAATTTCATCGAGTTCTGTGTTGGCTCAGTCTTGGCAACATGTGAGCTGAAACACATATGCTCTGTCCAGAATGGGTTTATGATTTAGTTGGACCTTGGAGCATAACATTAAGGAAACCAGCAATACATGCTCATGCGCATTCACGAATGGTACAGTCACCAGGAGCAGGGGCAGTGGAAAGCTTCAGAGAGGCAAGAAGATGTTAACTGTTCAGTGGAAGGAGGGCAAAGGGCACCCAGGCAGGAGAAATGGCACAAGCAGAGGGCAGAGTGAGGACTGCATGAGATGTATAGGAACAATGAATAGACCAGTTGCTTTAGCAAAAATAGTGAAAGAAAAAGTTGTCTTCGTAGTTTAGGCTAGATTTTAAGGTTGAAGTAGGAATTTTATCATGTATCTTATGAGGAGCTATGAATAATACCTGAGCTTTCACATGCATGTATTTCAAAGATTGAATGAAAAAAAAATTAGGATGGTGGGGTTGGGGTGGGAGGTGGCTAAACACTCGTGTAGCAGAGAGACAGCAACCTGTGGAGAAAGAGTGGAAATTAATGAGAGAGGAGGAGGCAGTTTTCTCTGATAAAGAAGGAGAAAAGCTAGGATCCTGAATATGGGTAGAGAGATTAGCTTTATACAGATCTTCACGAAGAGGGAGAAGCATGAGCAAATATAAAAATATAATAGATAAAAAATATTTTATTTACACATTATAATTGTACATTATAAAGCTTTCTTTATTCTTTATTACATGCAATTCTTACAACTCAATGAAGTTGGTTTTATTTTCTCCATTTTACCTATGACATAGAGAAATAGAAGAAGGCCCAAGCTGAAACAGCTTGTGTATACTCCTGAAACCCAACTACTTTGACCCCCAATTCTCTACCACTCCAATGTTTGCCCACATTGGAGGCCCAAGCCAATGTCACATCCTCAGGTGAGCTCTGATTAAGCTACAAAGATGCCTAACTCCAACCTTAAGTCCTTCCTTGTAGGAGGAATGCAAATCATAACACAGCACCCATACCAGTCCAAGACTTTGCTTGGTTTTTTTGGGGACACATATTTTTTAAATATGTGTTTCCAGGGACAGATTGCTCCTGGATCAACTTGAGGATTGAGTGTATTATCATCTCTTCCAAAGACTTGTTAGGAAGGTCAATACTGGAGGAGCATATAAAACTACACATATAACCTTTTGAACAGGGCATTTATAGTGACCTTACACATATTTTCACACTGGTCACTAGGCCTCCAACTTTTGCATTCAGATTGTTCTGTCTTACCCTGGTCCATGAAAGTCTCATAGCACTAGATTAAAACCAGTCTAAACTTATTGCCAATGACTATAAAGTCATACATGGGGTGTTCTGCTTTAAAGATGTCAAGAAAATCCTATTCACTCATTTTGAGACACAGTCCTTTCTCTTAGACAACGGATATGTGGTTGTGAATTCTAGCACCCTGAAGTTTCATAGAAACCCGAAATTCCCGTGAGCATGTCAATTAAAGATAAATCACTGTGGCTGCCTTCTTACATTTCAGTAGAACCAGAGTCAAATTTGCAAGGAGAATGACCCTTATTTTAATTGGCAGGCAATTCAATATGGGCGTTTTTATCATCCTTTGTAAGAAAGTAGTGGGTTTATTTTATTGCACATTTTTCCATCTCAGGTCTCACCTACGCTATTTGGAAGAACGGAAAAAAAAAAAAAGAAAAGTACTTTCCCCATGTAATCAAATCTTCCTTTCCACTCTCATCTCTATCTTTGTTTTTGCTTTGAATAGACATTGCTATTGCTAATATACTTCGCCTTTGCCAGGGTGGGAAAAAAAGACTCAAAGAAATAGCTGGCCATGTGCTGCTGTTTGGAGGGTGGAGAAGGGAGACAGCTGGTCAGGACTTGCTGCTGTGCCTGATCTAACTGCCTCTTTCTTTTCCCCTGTATCTTGTTCCCTGAGCAGGGTCCAGGGATGTCGGCTTACACTACACTTTCAATCCTCTAGGAGAACGTGACCAGAGGATTGAGACCCCCAATCTGGAGCTTGAAAGTCTGAATACAATATAGCAGAAGGCCCAGGGAAAAGCTAACAGGAATTCTTCTGCAGGTTTTGGTAATTAATGACCAGCTCCTAGAACACTGCAATTAAGACTATCAAGAGGAGCACAGAGGCCAAAATCTTTGAGGACATGACCTGAGAAGACAAAGAATTTTCTCCAACAGAGCCGAAAGGTGAGACACCTGGGCTCTGACCAGGCACACTGATCAGCTTTCATTCCATAGTAGAATCACCCAAATGCCCTCAAAATCAGCCTCATGAAATTCGATCCTAGTGTTTCAAAGTAAGGGCCACGAAAATTATTGACAATGAGTCTCACCTGCTGGGATTCGTGCCTTTGGGCAATTTGCTTCTAACAAATAGAATATGATAAAATGTCACTTCTGAGATTAGTGTACAAAAGACTATTATTCCTTCTTGGGCCCTCTGGTTCTGTCTCTCTGGAATCACTCATTCTGAGGGAAGCAGCCTGCCATGCTGTTAGACAGGGAGAAACCCACGTGGCAAGACAATGATATCCCCAACCAATGGCACGTGAGGACGGGAGGCTCCCACCAGCCAGGTGAGTTAGCTTGCAAATTGGCCCTTCTGCTGGAAGAGCTTCGAGATGTCTGCAGCCCTGGCTGACACCTCCATTGCAGCCTTCGGAGGGACTGAGAGGCACCCAGCTAAGCCATACATGGATTCCTGACCTACATAAACTGTGAGATAATAAATGTTTGTTTTAAGCCATTAAGTTTGGGGGTAATTTGTTACACAGTGTAACTTGTTACACAGCAATTAGTACAGAAAACCACTACAGGCACCATGTGTTATACAGTGATTATATATAGATCACGAAACATGATCATTTTTCGTGATCTATATATAATCTATATACAATCATGTAGCAATCACTACTTTTACAGAAGACTGAATATGAAGATGCTGTCTAAAACCATGCTTGACTTTCTTCCCTTCCAGAAAATGCCAAAGACACGTTTCCGTTGCCCATTCTGTAAACCACATGCTCTATCTTTTTATTTATATGGACTATGAAAAGAATCGACATTTTCATTTACAAAAAAAGATGTTTCCTTTACAGTTGCTTTCCATTTTTTCCAAATGAGTCCCTCAGAACATGGCTAAGGTTCCCCATTCATGCAACTTCCTTCCATTCCATACTTACGAAGTAATCGGTCAATAGGAACTCAGATTTGTTTTCTGTAGATAAAGTTGCAGTCTCTTCCATCAGAGCCTGGATATCTTTCTCGACGTCAATCTTGCTGATGGCACAGTGAATCTGTGTGTGGCACTGCCATGCCAAGGAAAGCAGAATGAGGTAGTTGAAGAAAGGTTTCCTGCCAATTCTTACCACGCGTACCAGAAGTGGAGAGATCTTCATTACTCACTGTGGTCAGGGTTTGGCCAAAAAGAGAAATATGTTGGCTGTACTGGTTTAAGTTATTGCACAAGAGCTGAATTCTTTCCTTCTCCAGCTCCAGGATGTTCTGAAAGGGATGGAAAATGAGGTAAGTCGAGATGGTTGTTATGCAAAACCTAAGTCACCCGTCAACACTGGCGCACCTGGAGACAGACCTAGCAGTCTGTCCTGATTTTGCCTCTTGACTGGGTCTCATCCAAGCCACAGTGGAGGGAGGTTTCCAGGACAGGAGTGTGACTTGGTGTCTATGCTACTATCCTCCTTTAAGATGGATTGAACTCCCACATCTTCCCCAGGCTCTTTTGTCCCAAAAGGCATCTAGCAGGTGCTGTGGGTTCCCTGAAGTTCACCAAGAAGGGCGAGAAAAGGAAGCACTTGAAAAGCATCTGTGAGTTCTAGAGAAGGAGAATGAAGCCCAGTAAAACCCAGATGCAGGTCTTGGAAATAAGACACTAAATATTTGTAGAATTTATAGTGCATACAAGGCATTTTGCCAGTCCCTGTGGAGGAGAGGATGATGAGATACAAATTCTCTGTTCGAAGAGACTATGTGACAAGAGAAGAATCCCAAAGTCTGATCAATTCATAATCCTGACCTAAAATTAGGCCTGGGAGTCAGAGTCCATGGTGTGAAGGTGGGAACCTAGTCTCCTTATTTTGTGTGGGATGATGAAAGTTCTACTGTTAGGCTTATGACCTTTAGCTAGGCTGGGCTAATAAGAAAATGAGGGCAATCATTTGCCTTATTAGCTACTAAGAGCTTAGAAAAAGTTATCAGACTCTTCCCACTCGGGTTGCTGACTGGTGGCTTTTAGGGAGGACGGGGAAGTTAAGGCAGGTAGGTGTTGTAGAAGGTGAGGTAGGTAAAGGGATCCCTAAATCTTGCGGGGGCAGCACAAGGCTGCTGCGTATGTGCCCAGAGGACTTTGGGCTTTGACAGAGGTGGCAGGTATCCAAGGCAAAATTCTCCCCATTCCATATTTGCAAGGACAAGGCCTGGGCATTCATCCTTTTATTCGGAGAAGGCCAGGCTGGCTACTCTCATGCCACCATCCCACCAACTCAATTTTTGTAAGTCAATGGGGACTAAACACCTTTGTTTCTGCTGGCCACCCGTCTCCTGAGTCTTTCAACAAAATCACAGGCACCAGCTATTTGAATGTGGTCATACGCCCTTCTGTCTCCCAGAGACAGGATTAAAGACAAGAATAGCCTATCAAATGGGCTGCTTCTTCAAAGAGCAGAATGGAAACGCCTCATGACAAATATGTAAAACAAATTCTGTTCGGTTGTTTGGACCTCATATGGAAATCTTCAAAAAGAAAAAGTCCTTACCCTATAAAAAAAAGATCGAGAAATCAGCTCTTCTGGTTTAGCCTATGAGCACAACACAGAGGAGAAATAAAAGCCAGGTTTTAGAACACACTGTGTCCTTGGAGGCAGCTGTTTCTTTACTTTAACAAGTGCTGAACCGCTAGCACCAATCTGAGACTAGAATAACCAGTGTCCCTTGGAGATGGTAATGTTTAACGGGTTTTAATTACATTGCAGGGAAATCATTAAAATGATCTATGTTTGCTCAGGAAAAGAGGGAGAAATAAATTCCGCTGTGCAAAGGGGAAATTCATATCTCATTTAATGAATCGCTTTCTATTATCTTGTTCTTTTTGCAGAAAATAGGCAGTAGAGAAGGAAGGTACTCTGGAGCACTCACAGTGTCCTCTTGTGCTTTCACACTAGCACGTAAGAAGAAAGTGTGGTCAGAAAGTTATCAAGAAACAGCAACTTCAGAATCCGTCTGGGGCCCAGGCATCATGATGAATCTCACTCTCCATTCATAGGCCAGGCGTGGTGGCTCGCCCCTGTAATCCTAGCACTCTGGGAGGCTAAGGCCGGTGGATCGCTCAAGGTCAGGAGTTCAAAACCAGCCTAAGCAAGAGTGAGACCCCCGTCTCTACTAAAAATAGAAAGAAATTAATTGGCCAACTAAAAATATATATAAAAAAAATTAGCCGGGCATGGTGGTGCATGCCTGTAGTCCCAGCTACTTGGGAGGCTGAGGCAGGAGGATTGCTTGAGCCCAGGAGTTTGAGGTTGTGAACTAGGCTGATGCCACGGCAGTCTATCCTGGGCAACAGAGTGAGACTCTATCTCAAAAAAAAAATTTAAAAAAAATTAAAAAACTGGTAAAAGAAATATGCTCTTTCTTGCTCTTTCTACAGCAGGGACTTTAAAACTTTACAATGCCTGGAAATCACCTGAACCCCTTCTTATTAATATAATCATTCAGAGGTTCTGATACATGGGGTCTAGGGAGGTGCTTGGGAATCTGAATTTTAACAAGCATCCCAGGTGCTTTGAGATATCATCCTAGGGCCATAGAGGTTCACAAGAAAACACATTTTTAAAATTATTTATAATTCTTGCACCCAGAGATGGCTGCTGTTAACATTTTGATGTATTTCAGTCTAAGTGTATGTATAATTTTATCTTCTAGTTATTATCAAATTATTCAAATTTGCTATCCTGGATTTTTCACTTAACCTTAAACATGAACAGCTCCCATGCCATAAGTCTCCGGGAATACCATTTTAATCTTTTCAAAGCAGTCCATTGTGTAGGTGTGTATTGATTCACTTAGTCAACCCTTTAATGTCGGTCATTTGGGTTGTTTCCTTCCTTATAAAGTATTTTGAACAGAAATCTGTGTCTTGTTTTTCAGCTACTTCCTCAAGGTCAACTTGTGGAAAGGAAATTACCTTTTTCAACAGGGGTCCTAGGAGAGAACTCAACCCTGATGTCCTAAGGCATCCATTGCATGTAATGAGTCATACTTTGTCTGCCTCTAGAGTGGTTCTAGCCAAGTACCATCCTTGGGAAAACTGAGAAAACAGTCACTCAAATTGTTTTCTGTGCTCTGTGGTTTAGATTAGGAACACTTCTTGAGAAGGGAACACTTTTAAGGCTCTTGACACATATTGCAAATGGCTCTCTAAAATAATTCCTTGAGTAAGTACCATCAGTACCAAGCATTTGATTCTTTGTAATTCTTGGTAGTGTGGCTATTATTTAAAAAAAATATAGTATAGTATATAGTATATAATATTTCTATCATCTGAATTGTTTCTTCTTAGAAGGTAGAATGTGGCAAGAACATAGTATGATTATGAAGTAATACTAATTTTGACATGTGGTTTGTGGAATTGGTTTCATTACCTAATGAGACTCTACTATTTCTTACACTACTACACTGCCTGGATCATAGTTCAATCAGCATTCTCTGAAAGAATTATAAATCCAACCTGTAGAATAAGATAGAGTAATAGGACACTTCATAGGACCCCATAATAAATTCTTATATTCAATTCTTACAAAAGAATACGAGGGAATTGGCGGGGGGGGGGGGATGAAACTGAGAAACGCTAATTGTCCCATTTTTGTCTCTTATGCTTTTAGTAAAATTCCCCTTTGAGTCAATTCAGCCTGCCTTTGTTATATGTCTTCATGAATCTAACATTTTGCTGTTGCGTTTGAACATACACAATGCATAGAGTAACCTGTGAGTCAGTGAGATGTTGGTGTAGACGCATCAGGGTGAAGCAAGGGTGACTTGAGAGAGGTTGTCTTGACCTGGGCATATGCGCTTGGGCCGGCACTCCAGAGGCAGAAGAGAGTTGAGAGGAAGGTGGGTAAGAGGAGCTGTGCAACTGAAAGGAGAAGGAGTGGAACACTGGTGGCCTCCAGCATAGTGGCAGTAAAAGTCCTGGATACGAGAGGGGTGAGAGGAAATACTCCTCCCCAAGGAGACCATGACTTTGAATAGATAATTCCATCTGACTTGGATTCTAATAACTCAAAAACAAAAAGCAAACAACCTAGGTCTTACATATTTTAAAGATGAAGTTGAAAGGTCTTTTGAAATGTAAATGAATGCATATCTTGTTGCCATCAGGAAGACTTTGTAAGGAAAGAAGACAATTTTTGGGTGTTTCAGTATAAAAATTGGGCCTGCTGAAAGGGGTGGGAGGAGTTGGAGGGGGAAGGGGTAGAAGGACCTTGACAGGAGAAAAGGAAACTGAGATCAGGGCAGGAGAGACCAAATAAGAGCCTCTGGTAGTGAGGGTAACACTGCGATACCTAACACTATTGCAGGCCAGCTGCTTGCCAGCTATACCAGGTAGGACCCGTCATTTCCCATCACTGTCACATAGGTGAGGAGGATGGGGACGATGAGATGAAATCTTTTATCATAGCCCTTGAAGGGTGCCTGGAAGATGGAGTGAGAGCAGACATGTCTTTACCATCTCCTAATAGGGAAGCCAGCCTTGGTAGGAAGGCGACAGCTTCATGGGAAGTCCTGGGAGGTGAGGCAAGATCAGAGCCCAGGTGGGAGAGCCAGACTTCAAATGAACAAAGCTGACATTCAAATCGCTGGCCTTTTCTCTTCCCCTTCATCGAAAACCTATCCAGTGTAAGGAAGGGGAGTGCCAGGAGCCGATGTTTGAAGGTGTAAATTAAAGAAGAGTCTCTTCTCATTTCTTCCTCTCTTCGACCTGAGTTTTGATCTCTTCTTCTAGTTCCTCTTTCTTCTCTAACTCTGCATCTACCCTACCTGGAAAGTGGTTGAACTACGAGAGATTTAAACACAGCCCTTCAGTGTCTGTTGGTGATAGAGTCTTCCCTCTCCTAGCTCTTCATGGGGCAGGAGCACTGTGCAGGGGCCCAGGCTGAATCCTGAAACCATCGAAGGCAAGTTACTTCGTCTCTCCAGCCTCAATTTCCACAACTATAAATTGGGAATAAAATGATTACCTTCCCCATAATGTGACAAAGACAAGATATAATGCACATCAATGTACTTGGCATGGTGCCTAAAAGAGAGAGCACTGAGCGCTTGTTACATGTTGGCCATTCGATCACTTCTTTTTCCAATTGTACCTGCTTTAAAGATTTATTTTAAACTTAGGTGGAGAAAAATAAAACAAAAATATTCATGTTTTTACCATCCAGAATTGATAATTATTTAATTTGGTCATATTTATGTTGACTTAAAAAATAGAGAGCTAAACTATTCCTATGTAGTTGAGGTAACTTCTGGGCCTGGGGCTATTGAATCCTTTCACCAAGGGTCCTGCACAAGCTGTGTGGCCAAATGTGGCAGCTCTGTCGTATTTCCACAATGAGATCCATTTTCTCCACTCAATATAGGTCCAGTCTATATGTAAATGTTTGCAAATATAGTATAGTTTGGGTGTGAGTTAAAAAACATTTTAATTTACATAGCTGTATAAATAGTATATTTCTTTTCTTCAACATCATATTTTTAAGGTTAATTTATGTTTAAATATAGATTTAATTGATTTCTTGTTTCTGGATATTAGTCCACTTTCCAAATTAGAGCACATTTTAAGAGAAATTCTTTTCCTGATGGGTATGAAGATTGTGTACAATTTTTCTCACCATTCAATTATAAGCAATTCTGCAATAAACATTCTTATGCATCACTCTTGGAGTACGGGCATAAATTTTTCTTTAAAATATATGCCTAAAGGGAACTGCTGTATTGTGGGTACATGTACATTTCAATTTTATTAGATACCATTAAATGATTTCAGGGGTACATCCTTGCCAATACTTGATATTGTCATTTTCTAATTTTTGCCAAATGATTGAGCACTTTTTTGTACGTTTATTGGTGATTTTGATTTCCCCTTTTGTGATTTGCTCGTTTACATCTTTTGCCTCATTTTTATCAGACGATTTGCCACAATTCCTTTTTTACGTGTCTGTTTTTGCTACTAAGGCGTGCGTATCTCAAGTGTTGCGGTGGTACTCCATTCATTGCTGCATGTCCGCAGTGCCCACCACAGGGCCTGCCATCTGTAAGTCATCACTGTAGGCATCAGCTCTCATGCCTAAAACTCACTTCTGAGTACCTAATACCTAAGGCCTTAATTTGCACTTTACTTTGATAGCACTTTTTGAAGTTAGCTCAGTGCTATTGTGTCCACTGAGAATTAGGAGCAGAAACTCTGGCCAAAGATACTCAGTAAATTTTCACTGGTAATTGTATCCATGGAGAAATTGAAACAAGGGGAAGAAGTGTGATTTGTCTAGAGTCATAATATGAGTGAGGGTCATAGCTGAGATAGAGAGCAGGTCTTGTAACTGCAGAGCTGACCTCCATTTTCAAGATCTCACAAAGCTCAGTAGAAGAAGAAAAACCGTGAATGCATAACTTGCCTGATAGCAATTTTCCAGTGTGTTTTCCCACTTCAGTCTGGTAGAATAGCCCGCCATGTTTTTTTGGTAGTAATTTTCATCTTCCTTTTCCAACTTCTCAGTTGATTTTTTCAGTTTATTCAGGAGCTAAAGTAAAACATCAGTGTCACATATTCATTAACACACTTATGAAAGCCCTTTGTATTCCACGGAGGGAATTATATGTGGTCCAATGACAGGTTTCTTACCTCTTGCCCAGAGTCACAAAACAGTAACTACAGTTGACAAACCCAAAGATCTTGTTCAGAAAAAAGAAATGGCAGAGCCAGAGGAAACCTGAGGGCCTTTCAGGATGATCCCCACAATTTTACACATTAGGAGACGGAGGCCCTTGAAGATGAAGTGATTTGTCTACATCCATCCAATCAGGGAGAACATGAAACAACAGCACACTGGAGGATTGACAGCGTAGGTAGAGGAGCTCAAGGCTGCAATCAACCAATGGCTCCTACAGTCTTATATGGCAAATCCTTCAGGCTCCTGCATTTCTTACCAGGACAGGTAGAGACTTGTGGAATCATGTAACTTTCAGAACTAATTTTTGCAATGGGCCTGGCTACTGTCCTGTCTGACAATCTTACTTTACTTTCACCATATAAAGCGAGCAGCAGAGCTTTGGAATCAGACTTCCAGGATGAGAGTCCTGGTTCTGGTTGCAGACAAGTTAGCCTTTGTGAGCCACTGTTTTCTCCTCTCCATGATGGGGATAATGATAGCTCCTAGTTCACTGGGTTGCTATGAGGATCCAAGTAGGTGATGCATGTAAGGCACATGGCACACTGCGCAACACCTGGTGTGGCACTCAGAGACTAGCAAGTATAATTATTACTAGCAAAAGGCCTGAGATACGTGGCCAGTGTTCCATGCAAGTTACAGGCAGTTTGATAGATGCTTTCCTCTCACCCCGCTTCCCCATGATCTGCTCCTGCACAAACAGCCTCCTCTTGTCAATCACCAAAATTTGCCATTCTGATTATTAAATCTTCTGGAAAATCAAAGTACAGTAATACAAAACTTCCTGGGCCAGGGTAGCTAAAATTGATTCTCAAAATGCCCAGACAAGTAATTTCACGTCTCTGAGGAATAAGGAACTTGGATTATGTGAATGATTCTCAAACTTTAGCATGTCTAGAAAGGACCCGAAGTGCTTGTAAAATTGCAAATTTCAGGGTTCTACAGGTAGCAATATTGATTCAATAGCTTTGCAGTGGGATTGGAATCTGAATGTTACTACCTTTTCAAATGATCAAATGCAAATAGTCTTCAAACCACTCTTTAAGGAGCATTAAGAACCACCCTGACTTAAGCAGGTTAGGAGTTTCAAGGGCAGAGACATAGGTTTTTAAGATTGACCTTCTTTATATTTCAGGACATTTTGACTAATGTTACAATAATGAAGAACATTCATTTAAAGTTCTGCGTGTTAACACCACTCACTTTATTATTCCAGTTGATACGCTAGCTATTCACTGTCCCTTGGCTCTGATGTGTGACCTACATAGGGCGTTCTGATTTTGTATATCAAGTGTAATGAACCACATCCATCTGTAGAAACATGAGCTTGTGAATTTTAACTGGATAATAATACATCGAACGGACTCAGAGGGTGCCATGGTTATACTTTGCTAAATGATTGTCGTTAGATTCTTACTGAGAATGCTAAGACTCCCAGGAATAACAACTGAGTCACCATTGAGATCAACATCCATATTTACCAGCTTACACTACAGAGCTGTTGACTAGAATTTTCAGCTCAGCAAATTTACAACAAATAGTCCCAAATAGCCAAATAGATATAAAAGCAGAATGTAGACTATTATATATATATATTTTTCCAGATCTCCCTTTAAGAAAGACAGACTCATATATTTTTATTTAAGGAACATCTTAGAAACCTTTACTAAAATTTGTCAAAGCTTGAATTCTTTTTCTTTCCCTGTTTCTTTCTTTTGGAACAAACATCTCATTTATTCACCAGACAGTGAGTGCCTTCCATGTGTCATACGCAAAGCTTTGGGGATAGAAGAGGGAACAAGATTGGCTCCCTCTAGTCAAGGGCCCGCACAGGCCATCACCATCCCGTGTGCTAGATCCCAGGGTGATAGGAATACTTAGGTATCACTGGGGCACCAAGAGAAGCACCTAAACCAGCCCTGGAATTAAAATAACATTAAGCTGTGATGTGGCACCTTGTAGGTACTCAAAAAAAAAAAAATGATCCCCATGTGAATAAACCTAATGTGAAAGTAGGAATTGGTAAAGCAAAATAGTATGGTGTGATACAGAAAAAGCTTTTTAGATGAGGTTGGAACATACAGTTCAACAGGGAGAGTAGTGAGAGGTGCTGTTGAAGAGATAGTCAAGGGTCAGGTCAGAAAAGGTCTTAAGAGCCACGTAAAGGAGTTTGTAATTCATTCTGAGGTCACTGGGAAGCCTTTGAAGGCTTTTAAAAGGAGAATGATATGCTCAGATTCAATCTTCAGAAAAGTTAGCTTGGCTTATACATGGGGAATAGATAAGAACAGGCTACACAGAAAGCAAAAAGACCAATTTGTTAGTTGCAATAAACCAGGCAAAAGGAGATGGTGGCCTGAGAGCCAGTATCTGTAGTGGAAATAGACATAAGCAAACAAATTCCAGAAGTATTTGGTTTAATAATTAGAATTGGGAGGATATAGTGGGTGGTTATATTCAAATATATAGAGAATCCAGAAATAAAGATTATCTTTGGTAGAGAGAAGTGATGGGTTTGATTTTAGTTATTGAGTTTGAGGTGCCAGGAAGCAGTTTAGAGAATGATTGGGGCTGGAAATTATAAATTTGGGTATTGCCAGCATAGATACGGTAGTTGAAGCCTTGAGAATATATATTTGGTGCCTGAAATTGAGAGTACTATGTTGGACATTGGAGATATAATGGCAAATAAAACAGAGCCAGGCCCAGGAGAGAAACATTCAGAAACTGCAATATATGAAGGTCAGGCAAAAAAAAAAGAAATCCATAAAAAAATCTAAGATAAAATTTATAGAAAAGTAGGAGGAAAACCAAAAGCATGAGGTGTTACTAAAGTTAAAATAAGAGAATGTTTTTAGAAAGGGGAAATAAACAATGCTTAATACTTTCAAGAAGTTTAATAAGGGAAGAACTGAAAAGTACCTCTTGGCTTTAGCAACATTATTTTTGATGGCAAGAATGCTCTTAGTTGAATGGGGAAAGCTTGATTGGGGTGATTTCAAAAGAGAACAGGAAATGAGAAAGTGGAGACAGAGCACATACGGCCCTTTCTAAATCTTACTGTAAGGGAGGTAAAAGTCTGAAAAAAGGCAACGAAATGTTTTACGAGTTGTCTCTTTAAAACCCCTATCTTTTTTGGGAATTAAAACCTGCATTTCTTCCCCAGGCCAGTAATCCAAGAGGCAGAAAAATGTTCTTTGCTATTTGTTTTCTAGTATCTTAAACTACAGGAGATGGTTCAACAGAGTTGTCCAAGGGGCACAAGAGCATCATCACTGGAGATGAGGTCCACGGAAACTATCAAGTATAGTTAAACCACAATAGCCTGAAGCCAAGACATGTGACACCTGTCACATAGACTAGAGCCCAACCACCGAAAACCCCCCTTTAAAAAGCCCAGCTTTTCTGTTATGGCAAGCAGTACAGCTAGTGTTAGAGCTCTTGCGGAACAGCCAGGGTAACAGCTCTTGAACGAGGAAAGAACCCAGCCAAACATGGAGAGTCGGAGAACAGTCTTTATTCCTTCAGCAGGCTCAGCCAACTTCTGACTTCTGACCCCCCTTCCTTGTTCTCCTCCAGTTTTTATACCCTTGGTAGGACTCAAAAAGCGTCCAATCAGCAACAAGCTTTAACATCCAATCAGCAACAGTGGGATTCAAAAAGTATCCAATCAAGATGGTGCAGCCAGCACAGCCAGAGGAAGAGAGCAGGCGGGGGAGCGCTGAGTGCAGGCGGACTAGAGGCCCGGCCCCAGCAGCGTGCACGAGCCCCCCCACCCCTGCACCCGCCTGTGGGGATACTGAGAGTTGGGGAGGCAGCGAGCAGCCGCATCCCAGCCCGCAACCCAGCGCTGGACAGTTTTTCTCTGTCATTTCTAGTTAAAGGCAAGATGGTGGTGTTTTGAGACTGTAGTTCCCTGCCCTCCTCATTTGCCAGCAAATTAATAAACTTCTCTTTCCTTTTCCTCAAACCCTTTGTCCTCATTCTTCATTCTCACTAATTCAGCCTTGGGGACAAATATTGAACTTTTGGTAACATTATTGTAAAAAGAAAGAGACATGATCATATCTGGAGAGAACAGGAGACATCATAGAAAACTGTCTCCCTGACTCTCCCTACTCTCCCAAGATTGGGGGTGCAATGGAATGAATGTTTATGTCCCCTCAAATTTCATATACTGAAATCCTAATTCCAATGTGAGGTATTAGGACGTGGGGACTTTGGGAGGTGATTAAGTCATGAAGGTGGAGTGCTCCTGAATAGGATTAATGCCCTCATAAAAGAGACCCCAGAGAGCTGTCTTGCCCTCTTTCCACCATGTGCAGATATAATGAGAGGTTATAACAGTCTGTAGCCTGAAAGAGGGGCCTCACCAGATGGGCACCCCCATGTCAGACTTCCAGCCTCCAGAACTGTGACAACGAATGTCTGTTGTTGAAGCCACCTGATTATAACAGCCAGGACTGACTGAGACAGGGGGAGCTAAGAAGGCTGATGGGAAGGAACGAGTAGAGAGGGGCTGTCCAAGAGACAGGACAGAATAGGGGAATGAGGACAGGGCCTCTGGGAGGCAGGCTGGGATGGGGTCGGACCACAGGATGAAGACTTGGCCTCTTCACTGCAGAGATGTCGGTGCCATTACTTTAGTCAGCAGGTGGCTGTCCCGACTTCTGTTTACTCTGAGGTAGGAAACAAGATAGGCTGCCGAAGTGGGTGGATGGAGATGGGAAGAGAACAGAGATTTACATCAGCTTCTGCAGAGGACTAGGACTGCTGAGCAGGAAACCAGGAGCAGCACAGGACAGCGGCTGAGGTCAAAGATTGTAGGCACTTCTACGTGAGATGAGAAAATGAATGGTGCCCTAGGTGTTCAGCCTTAGGGCCCCCTGTGCTCCCTAGCCCCCTAAAAGCTTCCAGATGAAGCAGTGAAGATGGCAGAGGTCTGCGATGGAATGGCAGCCGAGGCTATGGTTACAAGACCAGCTGGAGGAGGGCAGCAGCACCTCCCAGGGAAGCTGCTGCTGAGGGTAGGAAGAGGAAATTCACCACTTAGCTGCCATGCTTTTTCCTTTGTTAATGATTGACATCGATAAAGAATAGCTTCTAATGAGGGCCCTGGATGCCTCCAGCAGGACCTAGTGCTTGGTGTTTTAACATACTGGGGGGTGGCCTCATTGGAAGCTGCCTCATTATTCAGTACCGGTTATGTTCACTTCCAACTGTGAAGACTGACATGCGAAGAAATAAGAATCTTGTAAAATCTTGCTAATGATGAATGTAAGTTATTCAACTGATAGTTTCTTCAGATGAAGTGAGAGCTACTTGCAATGACAAATTTCTTTTGCTTTTAAGAACATTTGGCATTGCAGTGGTACAGGGCTGCATTTTCTTAGGGGAACTCTAAGATAGTGACTATTTCAAAGTTTTCCAATCTGGGACACATACCACAAGAGGTGTACAAGATAATTTATTGGGGTGTGAACAAAAAACATGTGATTTTCTTTCTTTCTTTCTTTCTTTCTTTCTTTCTTTCTTTCTTTCTTTCTTTCTTTCTTTCTTTCTTTCTTTCTTTCTTTCTTTCTTTCTTTCTTTCTTTCTTTCTTTCTTTCTTTCTTTCTTTCTTTCTTTCTTTTTCTTTCTTTTCTTTCTTTCTTTGAGCCAGGATCTTGCCCTATTGTCTGGGCTAGATTGCATTGGTGTCATCATATATTACTGCAACCTCAGACTCTTGGGCTCAAGCGATCCTCCTGCCTCAGGCTTCCAAGTAGCTGGCATTACAGGTGCACACCACCATGCCCGGCTAAATTTCTTATTTTTTTGTAAAGATAAGATCTCACTGTGTTGCCCAAGCTGGTCTCAAACTCAAGCAATTTTCCTGCCTCAGCCTCCCAAAGTGTTAGGATTACAGGTGTGAGCCACTGCACCTGGCCAGAAAATACTTGACTTTATTCCTCTACCCCAATGTTATTTCTCTTGCTTTTTGCTAAAAACACAGTTATCAAGCTTACTCTTGTTTAATCTATGAGTCACACTGCTGCTCACACGTGGACAGTAGTGGATTCTGAAGTGGCCTGGGGGGAAGGTGGGGATTCTGCAACCTGAGGAGCTGTCCTGGCCCTCACCAGTGTCTTCACCTCCAGCTTCCGGGAACATGTGGCCATTGTCATGTGCCCGGAACATGTGGCTCTACAGACTTATTACCTGGCTCCACGTAGGTTAATATACACAAAATGTACAAATATCTTAAACATACTTCTGTAGATTGGTGTTACTACGAAACAGATAAACACAAGGAAGCCACAGAAAGGTCAGAGCTGATGCTCTCTCCTGCTTCTGCTTATGAGCATGTCATCACCCACATGAAGAGGCAAAAACTGAAATGAGCTAGTGCGATCCGACAAGAAATTGATGAAAACATTTAAAATCATCAAGAGGATTATTAAAAAATGTATTTATATTTACTATGGTCAAGGCTTGCTCCAAGTGTGTATTTTGCCTGGAAACAATAATGATCATACAAAGACATCACAGTTAGCTAATCATTTAAAATACTATTTCATCTTTATCTCATTCTGCAAACATCTCTACTTTTTATGCTTTATAATGTTTGTAAAATATTAGTATAACATATAAGTATTATATATAACACACCACATATATGAAATATATATATATATTTTAACTTATTTAAAGTGTGAGGTGAGAATTTTATTTTTTTATTAAGAGGATTCCCTTTTTAAAAAAAATGGACATCATTGGTCTCATTTGTCATAGGTCGATAATATTTTTAAAATATATGTGTGGGCTGGGTGTGATGGCGTGCCCCTGTAGTCCTGCTACTTGGGAGGCTGAGGAGGGAGGATCCTTTGAACCCAGGAGTTTGAGGCTAGCCTGGGCAATGTACCAAGACCCTGTCTCTGAAAAAAAAAATTCAAAATAAAGAAGTTCAAAATATATGTACGTGTGGACCAGGAACGATTTAGAATCCCTTCTTTTGCTCTGCCACGCTCTCTGCTGAGACCGCACACAGAGGGAGGAATCAGCTAGCTCTCTGTCACAGCAAAGAGCAGCAAGCCACCGCCTCTAAGCTGCACACACCCAGCCAGCCGTGACAGCTTACCTTCCGCTTCTCTTTCTCATTCAGGGATTGCTTGGAGCTTTCTACAAGCTGGAAAAGTGCTTCGTGCTTCTTGGTACTCACCATTAGTTTTTTCTTAGCCTAGAGTCAAAAACATACAAACAAGAAAAAAAAAAAAGAGCAGAAACATATCAAGAGAAAACCCCTTGTGCTTTGAAACAGGGCATGCTCATGTGCTAGCTTTAATAGTTGTGTACTTTTAGTTCTTCATTCTCACCTCAAAATCTACCTAAAACATCACAGCAGCCAATCTATTGTCCTGAGAACCCTTGTATATTTTTTCATTGTATTGGGTAAACTCAAGAGAATTTACACGTTATGCTAAATCACTGAAGGCCTGCAATCCTCCAAAACAATGTTCTAGTGAGCGTGATGGCTTTACCACAAAAAATACCGCAACAAACAAAGAAGATGCTCTGCACCATTCTTTTAAACCAACATGGGCAACAATTGATGTTGTTTTAAGATGTCCTCTTAACATTTGCAACAAGGGTCAAAATTTTGCTTCCTGACACCCAGGCAGGAGAGCTGGGCACTTGCCTGGCAACATGTGAGATGGCCTGCACTTATTGGAGTTGGGGGAGAGGGAAGAGGTAGGGAAAGAGCATTCAAAGTCACCCTGCCCTGTTGATGTCTAAACCCCTGGAGTGGGGTTAGGTGGTCGTTTCTTACCATACATGGTGTATTTGGCTAAAGATGATGCTCCAGAGATAAAATCAGAAAGCAAAATTTGGTTAGAACTGGATTTAGCCCGTTCAGGAACTGGGCTGATTGAAACAGTGTTTGGCTTTTCACCTCAAGGTGAGGTGAAAACCAGACAACGAAGGGGGAAGGCTCAGGTCTCTCTTGGCATTTGACCTTGGGGAGCAGCGGCAAAGCCATCTGTCTCCCTCTAAACATGGGAAACCTCTACAAGGGAACAAAAGGGCTAAGAAGCTCACAGCCTCTTACTCCACCTTCTGTCAGTCCCGTACCTGCTGAAGAATGACAGGAGGCAAGAGGACTTGGTCCTTTAATGCTTTTCATTTGTGGCTCCAAGGAGACCACAGAGCATTCAGCATTACAGACATGCTGAATCCCTTGAATTGTAACAGGAAAGAAAATTATTACAGCTCAAGACTTTTATATTCTCTAATTTCTCTGTCACTCTTCATAAGAAAATCTTTTCATTTTGAAAAATGACTTGGTAGAAACTGGGAAATAATAAGAGATGTTTTTTGTTCTTGGAGGCAATTGCAGCTGCTGAGTGTTGCTGCTGGCATTGGGTCCATTGTATTGAATTTCCTGTGAAAGCTGAATATTTAAAGAAAATGGATTTCTAAAAAACAAACCCTTTTAAAGAAAGCTCATAAAACCAAGAGCAAAACTTTTTAAAAAATGGATACTTTTTCTAGGATTTTAAAATATTGACTGTGGGTATAGCAATTCATTTATCTTCAACTTTTCTTATTAATGTCCTTGGAGTCCATCCTTAGTTCCAGCAGACGTTTCAGAAGCTACGCTGGGGCCACCTGTTTCTGAGGGCATCCATTGCTAGTTATTTGGCACTAGTGGCTGTTTATTTGTAAAGGTTCTCTTTGGGCATTAACGCTTTGGAGATGAAAAAGGAAATTTCCAGCTTTTGGAGCACAAGTCTCCTCAAAGGGGTTCATTCATTGAGTTTTCTTAGCAGATTTCCTGGTTTCTAGTCCTTTCTACTTGAAATGAATTCCTCCTGTACTAGGTTGCTCTAGAATAATCTTTTGCACATATGGATTCCATCTGTTATTTTCTCTGCTTAAGAACCCATAATGATATTCTCTAGTTTCTCACACCAGATCATAATTCCTGTCCTTAGAATTTATTCACTATTTCCTACATGTATGTTATCTAGCTAAACTAAATTTTAAATTACTTGACAACAAGAACCATAGTGTTACGCACAAGAAGGGGACCATATGTACTTGTGGAGCTGATATAAACATCCCCCTTTATATAGTGCCACCCACCCCTCACTGTGCCACCCTCACTAGTGAGGTAGAGTCACTAACACACTTCTACAAATGAAAAAAACAAACAAAACTCAGATGATGTTTGTCACTTGCCCTAAGCTGCAAATTCTACAGCAAGGCAGTCGGTACAGAGTAATGGTTAAGAGCAGTGATCCTGGAGCCCAATACTTGTAGACTTGCAACAGCTGTTGGTTCCACTATTAACCAGTTTTGTAACCTTGGGCAAATTACCTAACTTCTCTGTGTCTCCACTACCTCATCTGTAAAAGGAGACAATGCAAGGTCACATTACATTAGGTTGATTATTGTGATGATGCAATATATAAATATATAGCACCTGGCACATAAAAAATGCTATATAAGCATTAGCTATAAATCACAATCATATTTAGAGACATGTTCTTTTTTTGTTTTGGGTGAAAGATACATATTTGTAATAACTCAGGTGAGGAAACAGTTTTCTCTCCAGTTAGCACTTAGAAATACTAACACTACATGGAATCACGTTTGTACAAAAGCGAGAAGCTTCAATCCTAAAAACAGCTTACACAAATGATATTGGTGGATACCTGCCTTAATTTGCTGATTCCAGTTGCTAATGACAAGATTTGCTGTCTTTTCAACTTCATTATCAAGCTATTGAAGAGAAAAAAAGGAAAACACGTTTTACTTTCTTCTCGTTTAGTCACTGCTGTAAACTCATAAAAGAGGCTCTGGGAACTGCCTCACCCCTTCTGCCATGTGAGGTTACAGTGAGTGTAAACAGTCACCCGTGAACCTGGAAGCCAGCCCTCACCAGTCACCTAATCTGCTAGTGCCTGAATCTTGGACTTCCCAGCCTTCAGAACTACCAGAACTACATCTGTGTTATTTACAAGCCATCTAGTTTATGGTATTTTTTTTGCTGTAGTAGCCCGTGTTAAGACAGCCATAGTTCTGGCTTATTAATTCTGGCACAATTGTTCTCACAATTCATGGGAATTTCAAAATCCTGCCATGGACATATATATGGAGGAAAGTAGGCCAACTATCTTATCCCCGTGTCAAGTGTCACTTGAAAGGACTTGGTAAAATAGTGATTTCTAATCTGTAACGATGTAAACAGCACATAAATATGTGCAGTTGTGTGGACAACCCTCGCATGGGTTGGTGTCACTGCAGGTCCCATCACATTCTCTTCAATATCAATCCACGTCCAACTTCAACACCAGGAGAATTGCTAACAGTCCTAGCAGTGCTAATTTTACTAAGTGTGTCCATTGCTCCTAACGTGACTATTTCTTTAATTTCAAAGAGATTGAATTCTTAATTATAATTAACCCCCCCCCCCCCACTTTTAAAACATCCAAAGGAATAAGACTCATAATGATGAGGATGGATTTCGGCAACCTCTCAGAGACGTCTGACATAAGTTCCAACAGAGCCTTTTTTCCTGGACCACGATCCCAGTAGATTAGCCGCTACTCAACCACTCTTGAGATTTAGCAAACACTACACTTTTCTTTTTTCCAGTTGGTTATATCTACAGTCTATGATTTATTGTAACAAATACAATGAAAATAATTTTATGCATGATGCCACTTTTGACTAAGTATGTGGCTGGAATGTGGAGCAGGTTTAATTTTTAAAATAAAATCTGATTTCTTATCTTTTGAGAGAGAGTGGGGTAGGGTGATGGGCTGCAGTGGGGAGGGGAGATGCAGAAAAGATGATCAATAGGAACCACATTTTAGAGGGTGTCATGGCACCAATGAACTAAAGCACTGTGATCAATTGTCATAGCACTCTGCCTAATTATGGTAAGCACTAAAGAAACATTAATAACTATCATATTATTACATAGTAATATTTTGTAATTAATAAAATATAGACTAGTGTTTGGTTTTTATCAAGTTGGCTTGCAAAGGCAGAAGATTATATTGCTTTCTAGTAATTCCTACAAATTTCTATCCATCACCCTAGCCCAAGAGACAACATCTATTCTGGTAAAACACATGTATATACCTACAAATATCAGTTCTACTTGCTGATTCAGTTTAATGAGGTTGAATACGTTTTCTATAATTACTCTTCCATCGAGCATTCACAAATCCCCTGGTCCTTCTGACTTGCTACAGTCAGTGCCTACTTTGTCTGGCCTTGGAACTCCCCTGAGCATGGCTCCTTCCCTTCACAAGGCCCCTGCTATGGCTTAGGAATGTCTTACCTCCATCTGGCCCCGAAACAAATAGTGACCAGGACCCCAGCCCTATCAGAGCCAAGCAGCATTTATTAAACACCCATCTGTGTTGCCCAGAAACAGCACTTAAAGTGCTTATCAACTGAATGACACACAGAGAAAAAGAAAAAGGAACACAAATGAAACTGTTCTGGAAGGAAAGGCACAGAGAAAGACCACAGGATATGCTATAAGTGGACTGGGTGCCCCTGAAAGAATTGTTTGCTATTTTTCTTTAATTTTAAGGATTTACCCATTATTACCTTTACACAATTCCAAGCTGATTTGCATAGAAAGTATCATTTTAAAAAATGTGCTTATCATTCTTCTATTTACAAATAGAATAAATGAAATTGTATACAAATACAAATACAAAGAAGTACAAAAAAATGAAATTAAAAATAACCTCTAATGCCATAATCTAAAGATAATTCTCATTAACATTTTGGGAATGTTCTTCCAGGATTTTTTCTATCCAAGTACAAACAAATTTATTTTATAAGATCGAGGTTATATAATTTATCAGATTTCTTCATTCTGCTTTATTAACACTATGTTGTGAAAAAATTCCCATGTGATTAAATTCTTAGACAGTAAGATTTTTTTTTTTTGAGACAGTCTCACTTTGTTGCCCAGGCTAGAGTGAGTGCCGTGGCGTCAGCCTAGCTCACAGCAATCTCAAACTCCTGGGCTCAAGCGATCCTCCTGCCTCAGCCTCCCGAGTAGCTGGGACTACAGGCATGCGCCGCCATGCCCGGCTAATTTTTTCTATATATATATATTAGTTGGCCAATTAATTTCTTTCTATTTATAGAGTCTCGCACTTGCTCAGACTGATTTCGAACTCCTGACCTCGAGCAATCCTCCCACATTGACCTCTCAAAGTGCTAAGATTACAAGCGTGAGCCACCGCGCCCAGTCCATACAGTAAGATTTTTAATGGTTATAAAGTATTCCATTGCTTGAATGTATCATAATTTATATTTGAATAAAGAAGCAGTTTCCAGTTTTTTACCATCATAAACAATAATGCTCTAACAAACATCCTTGCATATCAACCTTGGACTTGTGTTTTTAATTATTTTTATGATAAATTCCTAAAGCCTAGCACTACTTTTAGATCGCCTTTTCCTCCTTGGGCCAAAGACAGAAATCTCCCTTTAGAAAAGGGAGAGGAGGAAAGTTTCAACTCACTGATTTTCTCTTCTTCTCTTGTACATTCAGGACTTGATAAGTTGGTTTTATTGCTTCCAACTCAATTGCTTTGCCAAGTTTTCTGGAAATAAAACATAAACGACACGAGCATAGCATTAGGGTTTACACATCTACTTTCCAAATTACTTTCTGGGGAAATAAAATGGTGTGTTATGGCATGTGTATTCAGTGTGAGTTGGAAGGGGAGTATTTGTAGCACACCCACTTTAAATATTTACGACTCCCTTTGGAGTCGGAGCAAGGCCAGGGTGGGGCACTCACTGATGCAGGTCTGCTGCGGACTTCATGCCCTCCGAGGCCCAGGCCCAGGCACTGCTGAGACAGCTGGAGGCAGAAACAGGGAGGGGAGAAGAGGTGGACATCAATTTCTGGGTAAACTCTGAGAAATAAGGCATCACATCTGATTCACTGAATTCAGCAATTGCATTCATGTCCTAACCTTTATTTCAATTTCTCCATGAGATTAAATCCTGCCAATGTATTTATTTGCACTCTATTCATGATGTATACTGCTTTTTTTCCCCCAGTCATTTTTCATTTATATTTTCATTTCCCATTTCAAATCCGTAGAAAATCAGGCGACTAAAGTAGTCGAGGGTGAGAACAGGCGGTGATAGATACGATGCTAGGGTTAAAAGGCCCTCAGAGACAGTCTTTTCTGGCTTCTCATTTCACAGATGAATAAACTGAGACTCAGAAAACTGAAGTGACAAAGAAAGGGCTTGGAGCCCTGGTCACCTTCTGCTGCTGCTCTTTGGGTTGGAGTCTAGCTTCTGACCCTGCTGGGTTTTAGGGCAACTGCTCAGATATGTTATGGTCCTATGAGTGGTATCCCAATTTAACAGAAAGGATAGCACTGCCCTGTCCCTTATGGCATAGAGGGAGGCTTAGGGAGTGTGAGTCATTTTCTCCAACAGAAGGGACCCAGCTCACGGTGGCCCGTATAGTCTGCCTTCATAAGTCAGGACAATAAGTCCAATTATATCAATAATCCCCAGAGAGACAGGCCTGGGTATATTTTGATGGAGATAAGGGGGTGGATCTGCATCCCTGACAAAATCAGAATGGTGCAGAGGTTTTGCCTCCAAATGGCTTAGTTTGTACTTTGCAGCCTGAGAATGGGAGAACAAGACCAAAGGATGCCAGATTTTCTACACATCCTAAGCCAGGCACAACACTAGACACAAGAGAATACCTATTACATGCTTACAATAGGAGGGTCCAGAAAAGACAAAACTAATCTATATTGGCAGGAAACAGATCAGTGGTTGCTTGGGGCTAGGTAGGAGAAGGAATGCAAACAGGCATGAGGAATCTTTTGGCATGATAAAAATGTCTATGTTTTTAGTTTAATGGTTGCTATGCAGTGTATTTACACAAACTGACCAAACCACATGCTTAAAATGGGTGCTTACTATTGCATGTAAATTAAACCTCAGTAGAGTTGATTTTTAAAAAGGAAGTCAGGCATACTTGTGGGAAGAGAATCTGACATTTGCCCCTCCGAGCAGCGGGCAGCAGGGCAGGGGACCAAATGTGGGACCTCAGGCTCACCTGGGCCTGAATGTAGGTGCCCCTTTTTTGTTTCCTACATGACCTTGGAAGAGCCACTTCATTTCTCTGGCCCTCACTTAACTGATCTTTTAAAGTAGGAATTACTTGGGATAGCTGTGCAAGTACCTAACACAGATTTTGGTATAGATCATAGTTAATTAATGCTCATTATTAAATATCGCACTAATTCCAATTAACCAAACATTCTGGACATGCTAACTCTTTGGACTACTATGCTGGATGTTAGGGTTGCAACACCCCTACACCTTGATCCCTCTCATTCTTTTGAAGATAATTAGAATCAAGATCTTAAGGGATATTTAGGAAGCTTTTGCTTCATGCCAGGTGCTCTGCTAAGCACACTTCTTGTATTAGCTCATTGAATCCTCACAGCAACCATATGAGTTAGGCAAAATATATGTTTTACCATTTTTAAGAGATAACAAGAAGATAAATTGTTCTAGGTCACTCACCTGTAAGTGGTCAAACTAGAATTTAAACCTGGGCATTCTAAATGAAAGTCTATTTATACTCAACCACTATGCTATTCTGGCTCCTTTGTAGTCTACTAAAAATACCATCCTAAAAATAAAAATAAAGCTAAAGTCAGAGCAATTTCAAAGCCACCATTTGCTATTACAGATGATGCCTAAAGAGGAGTGAGAATGTGAGCTCTAGAAGGTTTCCTTTTTTCTTTTCCTTTCCCTCTCTCTTCATCAAAAGAGACCTCTGCAATGGCACCGTCAGCTTAGGGTCATGTCTGCATGTATTACTCAAGAATCTTTGCAGCAAATTATCACTAATGAACCATTTTTAGAATACTAATATCTTTCTTCTCTCCTTGCCAGAAAGGAATCTACTTTATTCTTAGAGCTGCAATATATTGAGAGAATGTGAACCAACATTTTTTTAGCAACTCACATGTTAAGCTCTTTACATACATTATCTCATTTTGTATGCACCCCACACACACACTCACACACAGTGGAGCACATGTCAATACTCCAGCTAACAGAGGGAGAAATCGAGGCACTGAGAGGCTGGGTTACTCGTCAAAGGTCACAGAGTAGAGATAAGGTTGGATTCACACTTCCTGAGTCCAAGTCTTCTGAGTTCACGACATCACTTTCCAAGTTCATTATCATCACCAAGGCTCTATCATGAATCTGGCCTTAGGAGTCAGAAAGACCCGGGATGAATCCAGCTCTACAACTTACCGTCCATGTGGTTGGGGGAAGTTTCTTAAACTCTCCAAGCCTCAAATCCTTGTCTGTAAATAGCGATAATAATAAGATCTCTCAAGGGTGGTAGTGAGGATTAAATGGGAGTATCTGTAAAATATTTAACATAGTCCCTGGCACATAGTAAGTGCCCAAGAACTGACAGCCCTGCTTGACATTACATAGCTACCACTTTTGTCAGAGGAAGCTAGAAATGATCATATGTCACTTTTTATTACTAATATTTTTAAGAATGATTTTGCCTTGCCTCTGCTATGGTACTTACTTTTTCCTTGTGTTCTGTAATGTTTTGCTCAGCTTGCTTGCCAGTTTCTGCAGTCCTTTGGCATAGCTTATCTCCAGGTTTGCCCTGTTTGCAAAAGGCAGGTTAAATAGGATGTGCTGGCCAGAAATCAAGCAAAACTACACAGATGTGCACACACCCACACATGTGCACACACACGCGGAGGAGGGCTCAGGCTGGACATGTAATGCTTACCTAAAGAAGAGATGATTTGTTTACTATAAGGATCCTCTTGTCCTTAAGCACAATCCTTAAGGACATCCAAGAGGAATCCTACGAAGGGAGAGTTTTTATTTTACACTGTGTTAAGGGTTGAATTGCATCTCCCAAGAAAATGTTGAAGACCTAATCCCCAGTGCCTGTGAATGTGACTTTATTTGGAAATAGATCTTTGTAGGTGATGATCAATTTAAGATGAGATCATTAGGGTGGGCTCAAACCCTATATGGATATGTCCTTATTAAAAGGGGAAATTTGGACACAAAAATAGACATGCACACAGGGAGAATAGCATGAAGGTATTGATCTGAGTGATACACCTACAAGCCAAGGAATGCCAAAGATCCCCAGGAAATCACCACAAGCCAAGAGACAGGCATGAAATTGATTCTTCCTCACAGCACTCAGTCGGAACCAACCAGGCTGACACTTCTATCTTGAACTTCCAGCCTCCAGAATGTGAGACAATAATATTCTGTGGTTTAAGCTCCCCAGTCTATGGGAATTTGTTATGATAGCCCTAAAAAGTAATATAACTAATAGGGAGCAGAAAACTGTCCTACTTATCTTGGGACATTAGCACTAATCATATTAGCTCTAGATTATAATAGCTGGCAATAAAATGATAAATTATGATTGAATTAACCAAGCAGTAGCTTTCTAATGGGAATCTGCGGTGGTGGCCAATACCAGATTTATTAATAGAAAACAAATTTCCATTCCTTTCTATGCAGGGCAAGACTCAGTAGGAAGTCCGGGCATGCCCTCCAAAAGCAAACTCCTTGGTTCCTTTGGACTGATTGACTCACTCTCATCTTAAACTTCTTTTACTTTGTCTATTTATAGGCCCCTCTGTAGCTAAAATGAGGGCATCTTCATCTCACTTCTGACTGCAGATAATAAAAATGTAGGAAATTAAGTTCCATTTATATTATGTTTTCCTTTTTAACACAGACCACAAGAATTTCTGTTGCATTTTCAGTCCTTTATTTCTATTTTTATTACAGAATATTTTTAGAATTCTTTATGACTCCATTTCACTTGGGAAAGAATTCCAGAACTCTTCTATAACTAACCTAATACCTGCACGTTTTTCACACAAGTTAGACAAGTAAGACAGCTCTGTTTTATAAAATGAAATCCAGACACCATGGGCTGTTGATCTATTGTTAAATTTCTATTCATTTTTCCCTGTTGGTACAGTTGTGCTTTAGGTTGGTTTTTATTTTGGAATGAAAGAAGACTACTGTAGGGTGTATGTTAAGGCCCAGGTACAAAAAACACCTATTGAGTATCAGAACTTGTTTGGATATAAGGAAAGGTTAAGGTAAGTATTTTAAAATAATGAAGCTGGTAAATAAATATCTCATAGCATTTAAAAACAGATTTATCTGCTCTAGGAATATGTTCCAGCTAATGGCAAGAGAGAGAAGAAGAAAGTGCTGGTCACCAGCAAGCTGGGAGAGACCATCCCACCTGATGAACTCAGATCTCCCAGGAGATCTCTACCATTCAGTGGGGTGGCTTCAGTAACGTTACAATGGAGTCATCAGGTCTACTTCAAGGGGTTTTATGAAGATTAAAATATGTAAGAGCCCAAGCTTAGCAGGGGCTCAACGGCTGGAATGATTGCTATTGGCCTGCAAGGCTCTGCAGGATCTGAGCCCTGGCTCCCTCTCTGACATCCCTCCCACCAGTCACCCCTTTGCTCGTTCTACTCCTGCTCGGTGACCAACTGCCATCCTGCCTCAGGGACTTTCCACTTGCTGTTGCCTCTGCTGAGTGAGTACTCCTTTTTCTACTAAACCACATGGTATTTTCCTTCATGTCATCCCAACAGGACTTGTTCAAATGTCACCTCCTCAGAGCCTATCCCATCTAAAAGAGGATCCTTCTTGCCAGCCCCTTACAGCTTTATGTATGTCCTAGTACTTATTATATCTTATCTCACATTATGATTTTTTAATGTGCTCTGCTGAATACCCCTAGAATGTAGACAGCTCCATGAGGGTCAAGAATTTTTTTTTGTTCATTGCTATATATCCCTGGGTCTGGAACAGTGCTTGGCACATAATAGGCACTCAGTATGTACGTCATGAATGATTGAATGCATGAATGGACTTCCCACCAGGTCTTGGCTGGAATTCTTGAAGAAGTTTCTCTCTGTAACCAAGGTTGGAGTGAGGTGGCATGCTCATAGCTCACAGCAACCTCTAGCACTTGGGCTCAACTGATCCTCCTGCCTCAGCCTCCTGAGTAGCTGAGACTTCAGGCACATATCACCATGCCTGGCTACTTTTCAAAAATATTTTTTGTAGAAATGGGGTCTCCCTATGTTGTCCAGGCTGATCTCAGACTCGTGGCCTCCAGAACAATTCCAGATGGCTTCTGGCAGGAAAGGTAATGCTGTCAGGCACAACCTCTCCCTCAGAATCCAGTTCTCCTTTCAGAATGTTCTCCCAGACTGTACAAGGTGTCTCAGAGGCTAACCAGAAGTAAAAAGGCCAACTACCAGAAAGAAATGTTGCTTTCCTTTATATCGTTAAATTAATTAGATTCCACTGGCGGGAGGCGGGGGACAGGGGTGGAATTAGGCTTTGGTGGCAAGAAAGAGGGTCCTTGTTTACTTTGAGGTGATTTAGCTTTGTTCCTTTTCATTTGGTCACTTTCCTCCCAGGCCCCAGTGTTCCCGCTGGCTTTCTCTTGAACACCAGCCTGAAGAGATTCGATTGTCACACAGCATCTCTCGCCTTGGGAGACTTCTCTGTACATACAAGTATCTTAGGAATCTTCAGCAGATTTATGACTCTACAGTTTGGTATACAGGTTAAAAATCCCTGAATCCTGCCTATGAAGAGAGTGTGTCCAAACAGCGCCCTCCCGACAAACGTGTTGCCTCACCTCCGTGACATGTTGCTGATGTGTGACCTAGGTTCTGCCTAGACAGAAAGAGGCAACACCAGCATTTATCAGGCACCTACAACATGCCAGGCACCATTCTGTTTTAGGTATATTTTCTCACTTACTCCACCTTAACTTCTTCGAGGTAGGCATCCTTTCTTTAACCATTTCATGGAGGGGACACTGAGGCACAGAGAGCTTGGTCAGCCACTCGCCTGAGGGTGCGCAGGCAGGAGGTGAGGGAGCCGGGACTGAAGCCCAGACAGCTTGGCCGGAGGACCATCCTGCTTAACCGCTCCACTCTGCTGCCTCTGACGTGGTGGGGAAGACACTGCAAGTGGAGAATTGGGGGGAAAGTCAAACAGCAGTACTTTTTAGAATTGATACCGCCTCACACTCCACCTTTAATTGCAGTGTTTGAATCACCACAGCTCCCGGCAGAGCTTAGCAGCTGGAGATCCAATTACAGCAGCCTCAGTGCCAACAGAATGAGCTTCCTGTTCTGAAGCCTCTGGGAAGTGGTGAGGCGTTTCCGGGGATGGGGAGCAGGGGAGGCGAGTGTCCGGGAAGGCGGGGGCTTTCACTGCAAATGGCGACAAGCTGGCCCTCTGCAGGGGACCGAGTGGGACCCAGCCTCTCTGAACAGCACACTTGGATCCTCTCTCCTTCACCCTGCAATTTAGTAATGACCTCGAAGGGTTTTAGAACCTGGCATTCAAATAGACCAAGCGAGCAGGTTACAATCATCTGCTCATCCATTTTAAGCCCTAAGGACCCTTTCGGGAACCTCAGCAGATTACTCTGCTAGTCACAGGGAAAGGAAAGGAAATGTGGTGGGGAGGACGGGTATGGGGCATTGTCACTCTGGTGTCTTCTGCCTGACACTAAAAGGCTCTCAGGCCTCTGGCCCTGAATGGCTTTTATCTTAACAGATGTTAATAGGTAAATTCCATCCCAGAGAAAATCGGCTTTTCTATAAGGAGCCATGGTCCAAGTGGCAAACGTAGAGAGAGCTGTCATTTTTATGTCAGAATGTTTGTAAGTGGAAACAAATGCTTCCGTGTGGCTCTTCCATGCTTATGGTCTAATGAAGTAGTATATCCTGAAAGCATATATATATATCTATATCTATATATATATATGTATATATATATATATGTATATATATATATCACCTTTGGTAAATATATATATATATATGCTTTCAGGATTCCTGCTGAATAGGCATGAAATGATCTTGGTGTTTCCCAAAGCAGAGGCAGCAATGTACACCCCCACTTAGACTGGTTTCTTCTTAGTCACTTGAAGGCAGGTGCTTTATCACATATGGTTCCTGCTGAAAAGTCACCATATGCAAAGAGAGTCGAGAGAGACAGGGCTAACCTCAAATTGAGATGTGGAATTTTCAGTCCCTCACTAAAATAATCAGAAACAAGCTTATAAGTTCATTGTGCTTAATTTTCTAGCCCTTTCCATCTTTTTTCTACAGCCATTCTACAGCCACCATATCTGAGTTAAGATGCTTTGTCCAAGCCAATTGTCTTGGCACACATGAAACTGATGATGTATATATCTTTTGATGGGTAACTCAATCTCACAATATTCAAATGAGTTTTAAAGATTCTGGACCAGGGAAATGACATACACTGACTTTTAATCCATTTATATTCTAATTTCCTCTCAGCATGCAAGGCAGGTCAATACGTTTTCATTAGTAATAATGAAGACCATTAAGTCAAAGACCAAGTCTGACTTAGATTTTAAAATAAATTATACTTTTGAAAGAAAGGAGAGATGGAAAATATGTGGTTTCAGATTCAATATTTTAGATAAAGCAAAATTAAGCTGTAAGAATAATATAAATGACCATCTAATGAATGTTAGATGATTTATCCTCTTCTAATGAAATTAAGATGATAAAAAGTAGTTTAAAAAAAGTACAACCAACCAAACAAAAGTAATTGCCCTCTGTGTCTATGAGGAATTAAATAAAATTAAGGTCTTCTCTTGCTTGGAGCAGGTGACAGAGTTCTCCCTTCATTATGAATTAATAAGAAATTTTAGTAATCTCAAATTCTTCCCGGGTGATATCATCTCCATCTTTCACCTCTTACTTTGGACCAGCAACAGCTTCCAGTTTCGGGCCAGGTATGTGATGTTTTCCATCCTAGCTTTATCAGTAAGCCTTTTGAAAGACAAACTCTCATCTTACAAATAGATTGCATTTAAAGGTCATTGCTGGCAACTTGAAAGATACCTTCACACTGAAGCCCTGTGGTTCAAGAGGCCAGGTTCCCTAGCCAGCCCAGACACCCACGGCATCGTTACTGATTGTTCTTGTCATGGTTCCTGAGAACAGTATAAAAGAAGATGAAATGGGAAGATGACACCCAAATGATGTCCAGCCTAAGAGTCTCACCAAGTCACAGTTCACCCCCAGGAACACATCAGCTGTGCAGCTCTAGAACCTCAGGTCCTGCATGTCTGTCCATTCACAAACTTAGTGCGTTTATGGGGCAGGGGGGATATTTTGGTGGAGAGAGTCAAGTAAAGTGGGCAAGAAAGGTGATGTTCAAAGCTTTTTGGCTGGGAAACAAAATTTTATACAGAACCCCACCATATTGCATAAATGCTAATAAAGTTGCCCTGATTAAATGGGAGAGGGTGTGAGTGGGGGCGCAAAGCCCTGCATGCTCAACCTCCTCCTCCTCCTCCTCCTCACCCCCTGAGTGGCCCCTAAGGGCTCCCGCAGTCCCCTTGGGCTATGGGGTTTGAAATCCACTCAGCTTGATGACACTGAAGTCCCTTCCCACAGAGGACCCACAGGCTCTGTGAAGGGAGCTGACCCCCTGAGCATTTGGCAACCCCCACAGCAGTGCTCCAACTGCCTGCCCTCCATGGAGGACACCCTTGCACCTAGCCTGGGTGGGGCCAGATGGGATTCAAAATATTTTCTGTATCCCCATCTGTAAATTAAAAATAGATAAGAGTAAGTATGTGCCACATTGGGCTATGACAATTAAAGACACCAAATATAAGACACATCTAACACATGGCCTGGTCTATAGGTTGTACAGATTATGCTGGATAAATGGTCTCTTCTATGATTTTATTTTTTCTAGCTTTTCTTCAAGACAATGTGCTATGTATTATGTCAGGAAATGTCTTTGACATGCCTATTTATTGCTCTTCAGAAATGACCTAACTTGAACTTCTTAGAAGTTATGAGCTCCCAAAGGTACAGAGTCACTCATACCTTATTCATTCACTCAGTGGACACAGCTATTGGATGCCTGCTCTGGTCCAGGCCCATGCTCATGGCATACAAAGACCCTCAAGGAATTCAGGCTCCAGAGGAGGAGACAGACAAGTGAACAGTGCAGGCAGTACGAGCTGCAACAGAGGTAAGCGCTAATTCTGCACATAGGCCTGAGGGGCACTTTATTAAGACTGGGGACTGGCTGGAGTTAAGGGAGGCCTGTCACAGTGGGTGACTGGATCTTGCAGAAGGTGTTGAATGCAGCCCAGCAACGAAGGTGCAGCAACATCTACCAGATAAGTGATATGGTTGTGCAAATGCAGGAACCCAGATGGGCTCGGGATTGCAAGTGGCTCAGTACGAAGGAGGGAATAGGGTCATGGGGAGATGGAGAGAGACAAGATAAATAGGAAGGCAGAGCTCAGATCCCAAAGGTCCTTTTATAAAATACTGCAAGGGCTGACTTTTATCCTGAAGATCATGGGAGTCTTTGAACGGTCTTAAGCAGGGTCATGGCCACAGAGCGGAAAGATACATTAAACACAGGGACGGGGCCCCAGCTAGCACACAAGTCAAGGTAACTTTACTTGGATAAGAAAAAGGTCCTCTAGAGGCAAACAGCTCTATCAGGGTGCAATACTCAAGGAGTTAGAGTGGACTGGATTTCTGCCTCCACTCATCGCATTCAGCCAGCTGCCTTTGTGCAGTGTACAAACTACACAACTGCAAGGCAGCAGCCGAGACAGAAGAAGAGTTTAAGTGAGTTTTGCCAGAACAATGGAACAGGCCATAAAGTGAAAAGAAAGCTACGGATATCAAGGGGGGTTAGCAGAGAGAGAGATGTGGTCTTGGTCATGAGTTGAGATAGAAGGAACCATGGCTGTGGGTCATCCCGGCTATCTGGCTTGACTGGGTGGGCAGTAGTCCTGGTCATTATGGTAAAAAATCCAGAGGGAACATCATCTTTGGAGAAACGCTGATAAACTTTGTTTTGGATATACTGATTTTGTGTTTTGATGGGACATCTAGGGTGAAGCATTCCATATACCGTAGAATAAATGGTTTAAAGCACAATTTAGACGTGTTGCGTAGTGACATACGTCCGGAAGTCACCACTGTGCCAGGGAGCCCAGGCTGTGGGCCTTCAGGATGAGTAAAGTAGAAAGGTGAGAATTTGTCAAAGATTTCATTTCAATTTTTTATTCCTTTGTTAACAGTATCTGCAATGAATCAGGAATTGAACAATTGGCCAACTACACCCCTTTTTTCTTTTTCTTTTTTTTTTAAATGGCCAGAGCAGCAGTCTTGCTGTTTGAAAACCTGACCTTAATCCTCCTTACACAGGAGCGACTGATTTTGCCATCAAAGCCTGTTTGGATCTTCACTGTGAGGGTGCAGGGAAGCAAACACTCCCAGATAGTTTCTGAGGATGTGCCTTTGTCCCTTTAAATCCGATCCGCAATTGTGTTAAAGCGAACCTGATCATTTTGGCATCAGGCATGGTAGGTGCTTCTGTGTTTCTCTGGCTAAATGTGAGTTGGGTACTGCAAAAAAAGAAACTGAAGTAACTAATTGGATAAAAGAAGCTAAGCGTGACCGTGAATTGCAGGATATCCGGGCAAAATGGTACTTCAATACCAACTGCACTTTTCTATGACTGCCAATTAGAATAAATGCAAGAAGGCGGCTGAGCTCGGAAAGGAAAAATTCTCTGGACTGCCAGCTCGACTGTGATGCTGCCTCTTGTAGCCATGTGCCGGTACAGAACTCTGGAGCAGAACAGTCCAGTGTCTCTCAGGAAAGGGGTCTGCAAATACGAACACCTCAAAGGATAGTAAAGACCTTGTCCTAATAGTGTAGGTATAATAATGATAATAAACCCCTTACCTGTATTTCATTTGTTTATTCATTCAATATACAAGTATTTACTGAATGCATTTCATGTGGCAGGCACCCCTAATTCAAAGCTCCCTGTCCTCATTCACTGTATCTTCCATTCTGCTGCCACTGGATTTGCCTGCATGATTTTCTGTCACTACACTCATTGGAAACACCTGCTCTATGGATTCTGAGACTACTGTTTGGCTTGACTTATGGGGTTTCCCATTACTTGTTTATAATCTTAAGTAACAGGATAATTTCTTTTAGAAAGACTACTGGCTTTCCAGGTTTGTTTGTTTGTTTCTTTCTTTTTTCCTGCCAAGAAGAGGAGGAAAGCTGTGCTATTTGAAGACAAAGGAATATTATGATTTAAAAATAAGCAAGAGCAAGCTTGATAGCATCAGTTTCCAACACCTTCTCACTCCAGTGTCTTAATGTGACAATCCTTGTTTCTGCTGGCACCAATCCAGTGACAGGGAGAGCACATTGCTCACTCTGTCATGGGCTCCTCCAGCTCCAAGAGTGTCCTCATCTTTTTCTTTTCCTTTTTTCTTTTGAATTATTATGGGTACATAATAGTTGTATATTTTTATAGGGCACATGTGATGTTTGATACAGGCATACAACGTGAATTAATCAAATCAGGGTAATTGGGCTATACATCACTTTAGGCATGTGTCATTTCTTTGTGTTAGGAACATTCCAATTCCACTCTTTTAGTTATTTTAAAGTATACCCTAACTTATTGCTGATTATAGTGGCTTTGTTGTGTTTCAAATATTGTTCATTCTATCTAACTATTATATTTAATTGTATTTTTGCACCCATTAATCATCCCCACTTTATCTCCCCCTTCCCACCACCCATCCCTGGCTTTCCAGGTATTTTCTAATACAAGGGACAGGTATCATTGATTCATGTATAACAAGCTCACCCATTTAAGAGGACAGTAAGCCCTGGGCTCATTTTCAGATAGCTGGTGGGAATCAGCTTTTTATGTAATACTGTATGCCTAGGGAAGTAACTTCTAAATTCACAGAATGGGTAGAGCAAAGGTGAATGTAACACCAGTTACACCGCGACCATTCATCTTTGTACATATAGTCATTATGTCAATTCAGTTCGAACACATAGGAAGAAGTAATGACTTCAGAATCACATCCCTCCTGTTGGAGAGAAGTGACCGAACCCTGGGAAGTGAAGCGGTCTCCTTTTAGACATACAGGAACACAGTCTAAAAGTACATAGTGTGCCACATATCCATAGATTTAATAGAGCGTTTGTGTCCATTAGAAAACAGTTCTCCCCAAATGCCATCTCCTTTAGTGTGCACAAACATCCTGCAGCTTAACTACACCATCAAAAAGCTGAGCAAGGTGAAGAAACTTGAAAGCTCTAGATGCAGAGACATTGCAAACGTGCATTTATCTGGAATCAGTATAAAGCAATGCAGAAAAATGGCATCTTGCTTAAGGGGAAATGATTTAATTGTACAAGTTGAGCTCTATGAAATGTTGAGAAAAGCATCTATTGCATAAATGACCTAATCTCTAACATAGTTTTTCTGGTCTAAGTAAAATACCAGATCCGTTCTTGGTGTTTATGCTATGCAGTTTTTATCCGGGAATGTGCTGGTAATTTTGCTAACCATTAGCACTCTTTAGATTTTCGAATTCTAAATTCTTCTCCACAAGGAAGTGAAGCCATGAAGGGAGATATCTTTAGCTACCCAAGTGTTTCTTCCTCGCTAAGCATGTTTGCCGCTCTAGAACATGCGGGCGGAGGGTGTCACACATTCATAGGTCCAGGACAGATGGTAGCCCTAGGAAGGAACTTCAAGAGAGACACAGGTGAAAAATGAAGGCTCTAGCTGTATAAGGAGAGTAGATTTGTCTGTGGCAGGGTGGGGATATGGAGTGATCTGGACAAGGCTGAAACAATACATCAGGTTTCAAGCAGTGGCTCCTCCAGTTTTTTCAGTTCGCTGTTGAGTCTGTTTGCCAGCAGACGTTACCTCTCCCCTGCTTTCCATCTTCTCAGCTCTCTACCAGGCACTCATTTTGAACCCCCAGACACCAAATAATCAAAGCCCAGATGACTGCAACCCAGGTCCTATGCCTGGCTGGTCTACAGAGGGAGGGTGCTTTCTAATCTAGGTAATGAGTTGAATTTGTGGAATAGTTAACTGGGTTTTGTTTTGTTTTGTTTGAGACAAGAGTCTTACTCTGTCGCCCAGGCCAGAGTACAGTGGTGTCATCACAGCTCACAGCAACCTCAGACTCCTGGGCATAAGCAATCCTCCTTCCTCAGCCTCCCAAATAGCTGAAACTACAGGCTCCCACCATTGCACCTGGCTAATTTTTCTATTTTTAGTAGAAATGGTGTTTCACTCCTGTTCAGGCTGGTCCCAAACTCCTGAACTAAAGCATTCCTCCCACCTCAGCCTCCCAGAGTGCTAGGATTACAGGCATGAGCCACCGTGCCCAGCCTAGCTGGTCTTATTTGAAATAATTTCCTTTGAGACTGATAAAAATATTTTATTACAGAAGAAATTCCCTCCCAGATGGGTCCTCCCCTTTTCTCTTTCATGGAATCAAAGCAGTGTGGCTGCTAGGATAGCTGCTAGGATAGGCTGCTAGGCTGCTAGGATAGCTGCTAGGATAGGCTGCTTCATATTTAAAAATTTTTTATCTTTGACTCCATTTGACAAATCCAGTTTTTTCTTTATTACAACAGCCAGTCTGAGCTCTCTTATATTTTTCTTTGGCCTTATCCATTGGTCCTGACAAAGCCAATATTCTCCTTTGGTCTTGGTTTTGAAGGAAACAAAAATATTCCTCTCAAAAACATTGGGAATTGTTGAGCTAAGAAAAGGTTAAGAATTCAGCGGCACACTATGCCCCTCCTCTCTGCCTTTCCCACCTAAAGACAGGCCTGTTTATAACACTTGCTTATCAGCTCAGAAACAGAGCTCAGAGATAGCAGCACCTAGGAGCACACTTTATCTTCCCATACATTTACCTCCCCACATTTTCCTGCCTTTTAGAAGCCTGAAGATACTCTCTTCTTTGTCTTATCACTATACAGGGTTTATGGCTCTTTGTCAAAATACTATCTAAGCAAGGTCCCTAAGCCACTGCCTTGCGAGAGAAACACTTTTGAGCTGAGGCCTCTCCCTCAGATGAGTACAGCAGGAATGTGTTGATAAAATTCTGCCTAGTTTTCCTTTTGTTAATCTGACTTTTGTTTTCAGGAGTGTATCTCAACTAAGAACCTAAAAAGTGAAAGAAAAGAAATTATTTTCTCCCCTCCAACCTGTTAACACAAGATGCAATTAATGCATGGTGTCTTTGTTCTTGTGGCACTCATACAGTATTTTGAATATGACATGGTTTACCTTAAAAGAATAAACAATCTCTTCTGAAGGTCTCTTTAGAGTGGGTTATTATAGAGCTGTCTGGAGGTAGGAAAAAGGCCCCAAAGATCTCTTTTGACCCAATTCATTCCTGGAGTTCTCTAATTTTAAGCAGGAATTTTTGTAAATTTCTCGACTGAGTTAAATGTGCTCATTTCAGCACAGTGAGCAGCTTTGCACCAGATCACACCTAGTATTAGTATTAAGAGAAGATGATACTGAAAATAGTGACTTTTCATTCATCCATCCATTCATTCATCAGACATTTACTTAAGAAATCAAAAGGCCAGGCTCTAAGAGCTCAGTGTACAATAATGAGTAAGACATAGCCTCTGCCCTTGGAGGGGAGACAAAAATGTAAACTAATGCTTGCCATCAGTGTGGAAAGTACAGTAGTGAGTGTATACATCAGGTACAACTTGGACCCCAGGAAGGGGTGATAAGCTCAGTCTGAGGAATCCAGAGAGACCTGACTGAGCCTTCCAAAGCAGAACACTTCCTGTTGTTCCTTGATTTTTATGGTACTCAATTGGTAAATGTGCAATAGAGGAGAATCATTCTTCAAACCAATCTCTTGAGTACCAAAATATAACACCATGTTCTGGAAAATAGGACAGCTTGTCATATCACTCGCTCCAACTGAACAGGAGGCGCTGCTTCTTGCAAACCTGAATTTTGTACCTTTGCTGAAGAACGGATGTGATCTGCTTGCAGAAATTCTCTCCATTTTGAGAAAACTCCTTTAGGTTCTTGTATACTTTATTTTCCTGAGAAAAATAACAGAACAAAAAAATAAATGAACAGGAAGATAATGTACATTCCCCAAAATAGGGCACTTATAAATTCAGAATGCTGCTCTAATGACTGTCATTGCAAATGATCATGCAGCCACAGGAATGCATGCTTTTTGGGATGAATTCTTAAAATAAAGAATGAGTTTCTTCTGCCTAGATATGAAACATCCTGGAGAACTCTTCAAAAATAAAGCTGATCTACCTGTTTCTCCCCTTGGCTGGATGCAAACAATTAAGTAGTGGGGTACATTTGGAGTCTGGTTTCCTGTCACCCCTATTGTTCCCAGGAAAGAAAAAAGTACATTCTGAAGGATACCACGTAGCCATTTTGTGTCCCCTCTCACACACCACAAACTGCAAAATAATATTCCCGAGGCTCATGAAAAACCATGAACCATTAAAGTGAGCATTTCTTGGCTCAGATATCAAAATGTAAGTGAATAACTTAACAAAAGCTTGTCCTAGTCCCTTCTATGTCTCATTTAACTGTAGTATCAAGAATGTCATAATAATGAATTGGACATTTTGGTTAAACCAAACCTTTAGAAATATATAAGTAAACCTTTATAAATTCATTTATATATGAATTTAGCCTACAGATGCAAGAAATTCAAGTAAAAAATTTTGTCATTTGATTTAGAACTCCATAATGTCATTCTGAAAATTATACTTATAAATGTAGACATTGATGATGATAGATTTTAAGTGCCTAAACAGAGAAGGTAAAGGGTAGTTGACACAGAGCAGGTGAATTTGACCATGAAATATCCCAAACAGTCTCTCAGAGTTTCTATCTGGTAGGTGCAACAGCATATTGCATTTTATAAAATAAGATTTTAGGCTTGGTGCAGTGGCTCACACCTGTACTCCCAGCATTTAGGGAAGCCCAGGCAAGAGGATTGCTTGAGGGCAGGAGTTTGAGACAGCCTGGACAACATAGCCAGACCCTCATGTCTAAAATAAATAAATATATAATAAAACTAAATGAAAAAAAAATTAGCCAGGGTAGTGATTCATGCTGTAGTTTCAGCTACTTGAGAAGCTGAGGCAGGGGGATCACTTGAGCCCAGGAGCTCAAGGCTGTAGTAAGCTATGATCGTGCCACCACGTTCTACCCTCGGCAACAGAGCCAGACCCTGTCTCTTAAAAAATAATGAGATTTTACGTAAGAGGACCCAAATTCTGTGTGGTTTGAGTGCCATACAGTGGCTCTTTGCTCATACCATGAGCCAGCCCTTTCCAGTATTCAGATGTCTCCAGCATTCAGTTGGGCACCATACTGAGAAAAGGGAAGAAACTCGTGTTTACTGAGTATCTTTTATGCAGCGAGTGCATTCATAAACACAGACACCCTTAGGGCCCAGGAAGCCTTTCAGTTAACAAAGCGCTTAGTGTAAGGTGCTAGCAGAGCATCAAACCAAAGACATAGGACTGCAGAGGAAAAAGGACCTAAAGAAATGACCCGATCCAGGCCATTGGAACAGGCACATAGACATAAAATACTTTTCACTTTATGCAGTAGTTTAACTTTCCTCTGAATTTAACACAGAAAGTTATGACAGGATTTGGTAGAAACATTGTAGTAGCAAATGGCTTCACTGAAACTGCCTGGGACTCAAGGGCAGCAGTGAGGGTGCAAAGCTTTGTGCAAGGAAACCATTCATTTCTGAAGCAGGGTTTGCACAATCGTGTGCCTGCGGCACCAGCAGGGCACCGGAATGTGTGAGGAGCTGGGTGGGACGGTGAGCTGGAGAAGCAGCTGCCGGAACCACTCTGGCTGTCACTGCTGCATGGGAAAGTGGCCCGGGACAGGCAGATTTCCCAATTTGCATCTGAAATATGGTTTTTTAAAGGTTGTAGCAAACAGTTCACAAAATTAAAAACTCTCTGCAGTGCAAGCAAAATACATTTGTAGTGGAGTTCTAATTTGTAGCCTGTGTCTTTTTTATTTTTTTACATTTTTATTATTTTAAGTAGAGACGGGGTCTCACTCTTGCTCAGGCTGGTCTTGAACTCCTGACCTCGAGTGATCCTCCCACCTCAGCCTCCCAGAGTGCTAGGATTACAGGTGTGAGCCACTGCGCCCAGCCTGTAGCCTTTGTCTTGAAGAAGAAATAATTTTCCTTTGAGAGTCATGAAAGTAAAACCACTGTTTAGCAACCAGGCTTTCTGATTTGTATTTCCAGTCAAACCTAATCTGTCATCGATGAATGATCTGATACTATTAAGGCCTCCTTCCTCCCCTTACAGGTACACTGGGAAAGTTTTGCTGAGCATTTTGAAATTGTGAGAAGTCCTGCAGTAAAGAAACTTGTTTACATGTTTGTTTGCTCCTATGTAACCTAAACATGTTCACTGAATTCCTCTCTAATGTGTTTATTTTCTTCCTATAACACCTCATAGCATCCTACAAAACACACCTAGGCGTCGTGATAGGAAAATACATAAGTGTTAAGCAGGGTACATGCCCCAAGAATAAAGTCATTTCTCTGCCTCCCTCATCCTTAGGTATATGTTAATAACAAGATGACTAAATGTTGTCCAAAGAGATATGGGCAAAAGTTTTGAACTGAGTTTTGAACAGTGAAGGCTTCTTCTTCCTCTTTTCTGCCTTCTGGACTTGGAAATAATGGTAGATGCCATAAGGTGGTATTGAGATTGGACCCCATGCGCTAAGATTGTAGAGCAGAAAGAGCCTGATGTCTGTGAAGGCCATTACATGAGCCCTCAACGCTCTACTTTTGGACTTACCTTGCATGTGAGAGGAATACATTGATGTTTTTAAAGACATTCTTATTTGGGGTTTTTCTGATATGCAGCTTGCCTTAGTTCTAACTCATGTACGGTTTTTTTTTAACTTTTTTCTTTAAATTATCAAACATTTTTATGTTTCATAAAATAATAATATACAGCATAATAATGATACACATTATGTACTCACTACTTAAGTTACAGAGGTATTAACACTTTGCTTTTGCTCTGTCTTTAAACAACTGTTTTTTCCTTTTCATAATTTCTTCAGCTATTCCAGGGTATTTATACTTCCATGTGAACATTTATCTAATTAACTTCTTTTTAAAATCCCTGCTGGGATCTTAATTGGAATTGCATTACATATATGTATAAATTTGGGGAAATTGGCTTTTTAATGGTATTTAGACTTCCCATCGAAGGACATAGTAAGTCTTTTCATTTGTTCACATTTTATTTTATGTTCAATAAAATTTTATGATTTTCTTTATAGGTCCTGCAGCTTTCTTATTTGATTTATTTAGAAATATCTCACAGTATTAAGCTGTGCGTCTTTATGTATTATCCTCTCTGCTTTTCTCTCCAGCCCTCAGCAATGCAAAAACTAAGACAACAAAGAAACCATGGGGTCATGTGCAAGAGAGAAGTATTTGGATGCGTGCTTGCAGAGTAAGTTTTTCTGCTCTTAAACACTACTTAAGACTGGGGCTGGGGATGAGAGAAGACACAGCAGAAAGATGGATGGGAGGGACTTGGAGCCTTCAGAGTGGGGGGAGGAAAAGAACCTCCCATCAGTAAAACCAGGAGTAGAAGGAAGGGACTCCGAGATGAAATGTCTTAAGGGAAGAGCCCCCCCACCCCAGCCCACCATCACCTGAGGACAGTGTGCACATTATACAGCAGTCCCCTATAGGAGAGAATAAGGGGCCTTGGACACCAACTGTAAGGATGGGGGAATGTAGGGAAACCCCTGCCCATAACCAAAGTGGAAATGAGTAGAACCAGTTGAGAATTTTTCTATGTGTTGGGGCTGGCTGTGTTTGCAGTTCCCGAACTAATTAACCCATCAAAACTCCCTTAGGCACATTTTAAAAAATACTGTCTCCATGGGACTAGTTTTAGGGAGCCAAACAATCCCAAACATTTCTAAACCAGTGATTGAAAACTCAATTGCCATCAGCCGCAGTGGCAGAGCCTGTGGCAAAGTGGAGAGTGCCTGTCTCCCCAAAGGCATTCACATCCAATGTGACATGGGGACATTCACATCCCCAAAGCAAGGGGCTGCTCAAACAAGCCACAGTCTACGGCTTCCATTGACCCTGGGGCTGCCAGTGCTAGGTTTAGGAAGACGACTAGTCTGTCCTAGACTAGTACTTCCTAATGTTTTTTTACATCATGGCGCACATAGAAAATGTTTGAATTGGAACAGTGTGGTGCATGGACAAAGTTGTTCCAGGCAGAGGCAACTGGCCCGTGGCTATGCCCAACCCCAGCCACATTCTGCCAATTCAAGAATGCCAGGATTGAAGGGATTCATATCTCAGGCACACCTGTAACCCACTCCTCAAACTCCAGAAGGCCCAGGCACACACAAGCTGGGAAGCTCTTCAATACATGACATTGTTGCTAACTTGGCAATCAGATAAGAGAGGCACGTTGTGCTTCTAACAGCAATGGAGAGAATCTTTACCTTTGACCCTATGTACAATGTGCTGGAAACTCCTCAATAAACCCTGATTCAGATTGAGATAAAGGGGACATCAGTAAATAAAAGAGTTGCTAAGATTATTTACATTACCCTTATTTAGAATCAATGATTCTGTACTTTCATTGTGTACCATCCACTCAGACTTGAAGAAAAAAAAACCATGAAAAGTGGACCTGCACAAATGCCAAAGCAGACCCCCCGAGACCATCTAGTCCTCTGTGTGTGTGTGTGTGTGTGTGTGTGTGTGTGCATGTGTATATGTGTGTGATTAAAAAATCTTAGAATATACCTGCTTCGAGGGGCTGAAATCCCTTGACCTTTGCTGTGGCTACTCCTATCTCTCCCCACTCCCAGCCACCAGCAAGGATGCAGAAGGGGTTCTATGAAGCACAGTTTGGAAACCACTCAAGTCCAACCCCCTTGTTTATAGCTAAGGCCCAAAGAACTGAAGATAACCTCATTAGTGAAGGACAGAAGCATGATTAGAAATGTTAGGTATTCAAATCAATTAGAGAATCCATCAGAAACAGTATATTTATAAATGGCTAATCAGTATAATCACACTAAGTTTATTCAGAGTGATAGTAACTTTTAAGAATTGTGAGAAGTACAGATGGCTTCTTAATGTCAACCATCAGCACAAGAAGGATTTTCTCTGGTCACCAACATATATATACAAGGTGAGTTTTTGGTGTTCTTTTCCTACCCATTAAGCTTTTGAATATCCCCTTGCCCCACTCCCACCCCCACCAAATGTTCTTTCCAGGAAAGAATCTACTATTGATTTCATATCTCCATATGAATTTATATTACATGCTGCATCTCCCTAGGATCATTGATTACTAGGAAAAATGTCATGGCTTTCCCCCCCCTCCCCCGATAAAGGGAAGACTGGTGGTGGAATATTTGGGATCTTCCTGATCTCCTCAAAAAAAAAGAAAAAAAAAAATCCTTTCACGTAGACAACTGGTCTACATAGGCATTTCTCATTCAACCATTAGGAAACTGTTTCTACCAGCACTTTTAAGCAAATTCTGTTGTATAAATATTGCCATTATTAAAAAAATTTAGTAATCTAGGCAATTGGCACATGAAATGATTAGACAGATGCCTTGTAGACAATATAAAGTGCCTATATCAAGCTTGGCCTGGCAGCTCTTTCTGAATTTCTATAGTTTACATGATGAAGTTATTAAATTCAGGTATTCTAGAAAAACTTATTTTGATGGATGCTAGTATGGAAATATTTTTTTTTTATAATGCTGATTCTAATAGTGTTAAATAAACTATGATATTCTACTTAAATTTAATAAAATGAGCTTTGCTGGATGCCTTTCCTATGCCAGGCACTGTGCTACCGATTTCAAGTGAATTCTGATTCACTGGGGGAAATATTTCAAAGCACTGCCCCGCCCCCCCAATTAAGGGATCACATGTATTTGTTGGCCATCTGTGTAGTATTTGGAATCTTCATGGCTGGCTGCCATAGATTATGAGATACAGAACATTAAAGAACACAGGCTATTCCGTCTTGTCCTCTTACTTTGCAGGTGAGGAAAAGGAGGCCCAAGAAACGTGGAATGGCATGTGACACGTGTCACTAACGCATGTTGGGGACACTGCGGGCCACTCGACATCCATGTTCCAGCCTCAGCCTGCCCCCCCCCCCCATCTCTGTAGTGAGTCAGAGTCCCTCAGAAGCTATGGGCCATTCAGTTGGCATCATGTGAATTAGTTCCTGTCACCATCTGGTGGCCCAGGCTCAGCCACCAAACGGGCAGCTCAGGTTGGCATCTGAAGAAGCTCACAACCTAGGAGCAGCCTGCTACTGTTTCAGCAGCTGCTGACGGGAGCGGAGGGGCTGCCCATATGGAGTCCCTCCCTGGATACTGCAAGACAGGAATGGGCGAAAAGCAACAATTTGGGTACAGCTTGTTACTTGCCCTTGATTTCTGTGGCGTTATTTCATTGGAAGGCGCTGTTTTTTATGACTGGATTATTTCCTTTGGGGATCATTTAATCCTATTTCCTTGCACATGGATTTGAAGACGATTTCCCTTGGCATATTTTTTAGGTTTAGAAGCTAAGCTCACACAGGCAATGAAGCGTCAACGCCCACAGCCAATTCTTTTCCTTTTCAAAAACAGAACTTTAAAAAATCTTCTTCAAAGACGTTCTGACGCTCTCAAGATTAGTTGTACAGAATTCAGGCAAACTTTGTACCACCCTGGTGACAATAATTTGAAAATAGACACTTTGAGGTGGAAGGGCCCAGCTATCAGTCTATTTTGCCCAATCAGGGCATGACCTAAAAGAGATTTTAAAAAATTTTTTCTTGTACCATGGGCCCCTTTAGTAGTCTCATGAAGTCTGTTTTATCCAGAATAATATTTTTTATACATAAAATAGAATAACATAATATTATGCAGGAAACTATATTGATAGACATTTATATTAAAAACATATTTTTAAAATTGTGATATTATGCCTGCTTTTTAATTAACATAATAAATAACATGTCTTAAGAATTACCAAAATTTCTAAGTCAGGCTGAGTGTGGACAATATTTCTAGACATCTGCAACAACTATAATGTTATAGAGAAATACTCGATTTTTAGTGATTACAAAGTCACAGACGCTACTAGCAGTATTGGGTTTGTTGCCTATATTCAGAATGGAAGGAAATTCTAAATTTCACTTAGAATTGGTACAAATAGATTTGTTTTTTCCACTGAAGTTCAAGTGACGCACTGAGTTCCTCACACATATGTGTTGGTGTGGGCAAGGATAAGAACTGTAGCTAAGACTTTATGAATTGTGTTCCGTGCAACCCTAGGGACTCATGGAATGGGACATTTTATAGGTGGCTAAAACTCTGGATTCTTTTATGAAACTACTTAAGTGCTTCGTGAAGGATTAATTTGCAATCCATTCCCTTGTTTTATTATGTTCCCAAGCTGCAGACTCATCTTCATAAAGCATTGTTCCTTAAGTACAAGCTAAGGCTGTACCAGGAAATCAACTTGAACACTTGATTAAGATGAAACAATTGCAAATAAATAAATGTTCTGTGACTTTAGAGGGTTCAGAAACCCAGCCTGAAGGGATATCCGTCTCCCCATGACTCCCGGATACCTCTGGTGGCAATGAGCCCATGGCGATGACCTTCAGAGTTGTGGACAAGGACAGGAATCCTTGGGCAATGGCCCAGCTTCGGGCAAAGAGCTATTCGGCCTGGCAGGGAGAGCTCTAAAGAGACACAGAAGTGTCGTGATGGGTTGACTTGGGGCCTGGCCTGCTGCAGGAAAGTATTTCTCCTGATCTGAAGACTGGCTTTGATGCCTACTAAAAGGATGTTAGGCCTTCAGCTCCTTTCTTTCTTTCTTTTTCTTTTTTTAAGTTAATTGAACTTGGCCTCATTTTCCCTCTTTCGTCTCTTGCACTCTCCCCCTAGTGTTGACTTTCTTTTTTGGTGGCTATTAGTGGCAAGTTTTTGCCTCCACCTGTCCTGCCTCCTGTCCTCACCTGCCACCCCTGCACAAAAACATCATCAAGGGCATCAGTGTTGAGACAGGAGAGGGTTTAACAGTTCAGTAAGGAAGCAAACTCAGGGAGAGAAAAATAAACAAACCAACAAATAAACGATAAATGACTTCTGTAAGAAATTATACATGATGACCAAAGGAGAGACGATTAAGATTGAGGTCATTAAAGGGAGAAATTTTCACTCTTAAAATCTATATACAACTATACTGTTGGAATGTATTTTTACATTAAGCACATGTTTTTGCATTTAAAAATGTAAAACTAGGCAGAGCTGTCTACTTTGTTGTCATTATTAATATTACTAGTCATTTATAAGTTCATCTCATTTAACTCATCTGATCCTTGAACTCATTTTGTGGAATAACAGCTATAGTTCCATCTCTTCAAATCACGTGCTTTCTCCATTCATTGAATAAACAAAAAGGAAACCAAAAGTCATCAGCTGATCTTTCTCTTTATGGCTTTATTACAGTCCCCATTTATCCGCCTCTCCACAGATAGTGTTTTTAATAAAATACATGAAGGGTGATTGCAACCTTTTGCTTATGATGTCACCAATTTTAGCTTTTCTGCACCATTTATTGGGATAAGACACCCGTAATCCTTGATTAGGTTTATTTTCAAAAATAAACATATCCCCCCTTTATTTTAGTTGTTTCTTATTTCCTAAATGACTTCTCTGCTATTGCTGCTAACGACCTTGCAGTGTCTTTGGACTTTTGACCAATCTTCTATTTTTGGTAACGCTCCCAGAACTGGAGCAAACACACTGGTAAGCCACTTGGAGAAGCACCACAGTCCAGACAGGCTGGAGAGTCTGTCCTTCTTCCCGTAGGACTTGCAAACTTTGACTCTAAATGATGTGGGGGAAAAAATGCAAAAACCTTCCTCCCTGACTTTATTCTTAGAGCCAAAAATTGGCTGCAGACATTCTGTGTGTTTTTGTATCCACGCCACACATGACGTTGGCACCATTCGTATGTGTCTTTAGAATGTTTTCCAAACAGCCGCTATCTGCATCCAAATATGATGCTATCTATACTCACTCAAACTTTTTCCAAGAATATGAGAATGAAAGACAATTACCTGTCCTTTCACTTCCTAGAAAAGGCTCTGCTTCAAATTAAGCCAGAGAAAAACCAGAAACTCTTGTACCACAGCCAATATCTAAACCGGTTTGGTTTCTAAGTGTCTCAGATTTCTTTAGTAAAAATCCATTAACATATGAATGTACCCTCCATCTCTCTCTCACACGCATGCAGGCACACAAACCACACTGAGCTACTCACCGGACAATCGGTCAGTGGGTCCCTCATGTCGAAACGTTTCTGGATTTTGTCCTTTCACCTACGCTCCAGCATTCTGGACGTTGCATTTGAGGTCGGGTGTGTCCTGGACTTCCGGGATTCAAAGGGCCTAGAGTACGTCAGTCCTTGTCAAACACACCAAGGAGGAAGTTCCAGCCCTGGACTTTCATCCCGTTTGTTTCCTGAAAAAGCAAAGAACTGCTGTGGGTCAAGAAAGCCCGTGTGGAATGGTGAGAATGACTTCTGTAAATACTCACAGGGCGGAATCCCGAGTCCTGAACAGCATAGTTTTGAGAGAAGGCCCAGAAGCTATAAAATGGCCCCAATAATTCTGGCACTCAGTATGATGGTGGAGAGACTCATTCTTTAGCTTGCTGTATTAGTCATATTTTTTTATTTTCTGTATTTTATGATGCTTTGACCATTGGGAACCTTGTGGACCTGGGGAGAGACTGACTGCCTTTCTCAGGGTTAGCAAATTCCTAGAGATAGCAAACAATTTGCTCAAGAGCATGCCTTTGATAAGAAAACCAGTTCAACCCAGAGCTCGAACCCCCAACCACCTCCTTTATCTAACGCTCACATATCAAGCCAATATTATATCACCCCAGAACCAGGTACCAAACAACTAGGCGCCTAAACTTACAGAACGATAGCTATAAAATGTCCAGAAATTGCTACCAGGAAGCAGGGCATGCATTAACCACCTCTCTAAGCCTAACTCAAACCAACCATTGCTCCAGGCCCAATGGGACCAAGAAGCCAGACTATCAAATTAGGAAGAATTTGCCTTATGTTCAGTCTCATTTTTCATCACACAAAAAGATAGAATTAGAACTCAACCTTCACAACTCTTTTTTTTTCTTTTATTGCTTTCTCTGCACCTGTGGTCCCAGTTGTCAATCCTTGGATTCCCAAATAATGGTCTGTTAACTTGTGACAGCCATTTGCCAGGCTGCGGACAGCTTCTTCCTCACTGGCAGGTGGGCAAGGGCAGGCCCCAGCTGAAAGGAGCCCCACTGACACAGTACAGTAAAACACTTCAGAGCTTAAAAACGTCCAGTTTCCACCTGCCCAGCTTGCCCACCCTCCATCCTCTGCCCCTGGTGTGCCAGCTCTGCTCAAAGTCCCTAGAAAGAATGTGGGAGAGGGAAGGACAAGCAGGGACCAGAGCTTGCCTTGCAACCAGAGAGGAGAGGACGGGCTTAGGCAGGGGCCACCACCCACACACTTAACGACGTCCTCCCCCTTGGCCTATCCAAAGTCCGGTTAGCACTGGAGGTTACGACATTGAGCAGTCGTCATGTGGCTAGAATCAGACAAGGCAGCTCCACACAATGAAAGGAGTTTCGAGGGAGAGTGGAAACTGAGGTTACTAAGATGTAACTCAGATTCGCAGCGTAGGGCTTCTATGTCCGCAGACATTTTAGAGAAACGGCTGCAGCAGCCTCAGTCCCAGGACCTGGGGCAGCTCAGTGTCTCCGTTGCGATTCCTGCCCCATTTTTCCTGCTGTTCTTTTTCTTTGTCTTAATTCAGTCTCAACCCAGTCCAAAATGGGCCGATTGTCCTCCTTTGCTGTTTGCATGAGAAATGCTGTCACGCCAAGCTTCCTGTGGTCTTCAGACCAATTACAGGTCGGTAGGACAGTGTTGTGTCCACACTCCTCTCGTGTGCCTGTCCCAGCAGGCTGGCTGGCTTTCCCTAGGCCTCCTAGACATCTGCTAAATTAAAATACCTGCATCTTGCCGCAGTTTCCCTCCCAGACAGTGGTAAGGGCAGCAGCGGTCCCCACTGAATCCAGACTGAGAATTAGAGTTCATCTATTCGTTGAGCTGCTCGGAAGGGTATTTGAATCTGTAAAAAGTCTTGATTTTGGAGGTCAGAAAGAGGTTTGTATCATTTATCCTTGGTCACAATAATGTTGTATAACAAGCAGAAAAACCCAGTGGCTTTCAAATGACACAGATTTTACTTAGTTCATGAACCTATGTTTTAACTCGGTGGCTCTCCTGGTGGCGCCTGGGCTCACTCATGCAAAAATGGGTCATCTTCCCAGCTCTGCTGATCTTGGCTGGGCTTTGGCAGAGCAGTTCTTCTGGGCTTTGCTGGGCAGGGGGCTGGCTGAGGGCTAGCTGTTGTCTGAAGCAATAATATTTCATCAGCTAGTAGTCTAACCAGGTTGTTCTCACGGTATGTCCGGGGAGCCAGGAGAGTGAGTGGAAGAGTATGAGGTCCCTTGAGGTACAGCTTGGAACCAACACACCATAACTTCAGCCACATCCAGCTGACCAAAGCCAGTCATAGGCCAGCCCAGATTCAAGGGTGTGGAAGGACATTCCTCTCCTTTTAATGGGAAGAGCTGACTGTCCCATTGCAAAAGGGCACAGATACAGAGGGGGGCAGAGAATTGGGATTAGTTTACATTCACTCTACTACAATGGTTGGTCAATATTTGCTCCCGAGTGACCAGACAGATAAAGCAGAAAGGACACAGGAGGGTGTGGCTGGTGTATGTCTTCAGCCTGGGATGACAGGTTTTGGACTTCAGCAGAGACTGGGGTTAGGAAGAGAAATAAGAGGAGCTAAATCATGAAAGACTCAAGACAGATATTTGGATAAAGGCCTGTCTCCTCTTCAACACCACATCCCACCCTACACATATTCTGCCAAGGGTCATGGCAGAGGACACCCCTCCTGGGTGGGGGAGGGACAGCACAGCAGGGTTCTGTAAGTCATCGCCAGCACTGAGGCAGAGGGGGTGGGCCATTGACAAGGCCACCAGAGCAGGCCAAAGTCAGGACGTCTGTCCTCGTGCGTGTGAGCTTTCCCTCCAGCTCCCTGACTCCCCAAAATGGCTCAGAGAGACTTTGGGAGGGGGAGGCTGAGTTCCCATGTAAGAGGGGCAAAGAGCCTTGTAGTTTTGGAATTAATATTAACATGCTTTCATTTGTACCTATAGGTTGATATATGTAGTGAAGCATCCCCTCAAAGAAGGTATAACATACTCATTTTCTGAAAAATTTAGTGCCCAAAGCATCCTTTTGAGTTCTCTGTCTTCAGATGTGTCTCTGGTTGTCTGTCTCTGACCCACGCTCATTCTCTGGCTTCTTTGCAGCCAGGCCCCCAGTCCGACTTGCTGTGTGACCTCTCACATCCTAATCTTCCTGCTTCCTCTCAGCCAGTGCTCAGCATGCCCCTTCCTGACATGGACTCTCTGTAGAAGGAAAACCTGCAGTGGATTCCCTTTGCGTCTGGCTTGGAAGCCCCTCCACTGGACTCCACCTAGAACATCTTGTGCTGCCTCAGCATTAGCATATATTTATTAAGTACTCATAAACAAGTGCTGGCTGTTAGTAAGTCAGTAAGAACAGGAGCCCAAATGCAATAGAGGCTAAGAACAATTCAAAACTTGCCCTGGAATTTTCTTTAGCAGGCAAAGCATGTGAAGAATTGGAAACAGGGCCGGGCGCTGTGGCTCACGCCTATAATCCTAGCTCTTGGGAGGCCGAGGCGGGCGGATTGCTCAAGGTCAGGAGTTCAAAACCAGCCTGAGCAAGAGCGAGACCCCATCTCTACTATAAATAGAAAGAAATTAATTGGCCAACTGATATATATATATATAATTAGCCGGGCATAGTGGCGCATGCCTGTAGTCCCAGCTACTCGGGAGGCTGAGGCAGAAGGATCACTCGAGCCCAGGAGTTTGAGGTTGCTGTGAGCTAGGCTGACGCCACGGCACTCACTCTAGCCTGGGCAACAAAGCGAGACTCTGTCTCAAAAAAAAAAAAAAAAAAAAAAGAATTGGAAACAGAATAAACATCACTAATAGAGACCTGGTTGAATACCGTATGGTAATATGAGCTCATATTTGGAGGACTTATAATGTGTCAGGCACTATTCTAAATGCTGTACATTTATCCATGGACTCCTCATCTGTGGATTTAACCAACCACAGAATGAAAATAATAAAAATACAAAATAACAATACAACAATAAAAAATAATACAAATGAAAACAATACAAGTATAATAACTATTTACCTAGCATTTACATTGCATTAGGTATGAGTAATATAGAGATATTCTAAAGTATATGGGAGGATATGCATAAGTTATATGCAAATACTACATCATTTTATATCAAGAACTTGAGGATCTGGGTATTTTGGTATGGGGGAGGGGTCCTGGAACCAATCCCCCATAGATACTGAGGGATGACTTATTAACTTATTATTGATGACATATTATTTTGATTCTTGTAATACACATAGAGAAACTGAGGCACAGGGCAGGTAAGTGACTTATCCAAGTTCACACAGTTAGTAAGGGGTATAGCTGGGACTCATCTGAATCCAATGCTCCCACGTTCAATTACCGTGCTATCCTGCCAGTCAATTCAGATAATGGGATACTAAACATGCAAAGGTTGAGGATATAGTATAGAATATTTAATTATATATATTGACTTAGAAACAGGTTGAAAAACAATAACTATGATTCTAGTCTGATACCTATATAAGAAAAAAAGATCCAGGCACATATACATTAATACCAGACAGACAACAGTGTATCTCTGAACTTTGGGATTCTGGAGGATTCTTACTTTCTAGGTCATACATTTTTGTATAATTTTAATATTTGAAACAAACATATATTACTTTAGAAAACAAAAAAGACAAGTAAAAATCTTTACAAGGATTTCAATTATGCTAAATTTAATTGTTAAAAAGGAAGAACTGACAATTGAAATGGCAACAGCATTCCTTATTATTTTATCCCTCCAGGATTTTGCATATGCTACTTCTTCTACCTGGAAGTCCTTCTGTCTTTATGTTGGCTTGGCTGGCTTTTATTATCTCCAAAGTCCAGCTTGTGCCATTTTTCCCAGACTACACTCTTGCCTTTGTATTAATGCTATCTATCCATTGCACATACCTCTTTTGATTCATTTATCCTATTGTGTTGAAATTATTAATTTAATGATCTGCCTCCCGCACTACTCAATGAGTTCCTTATAGCCAAGTACTTGGAGCAAAGTAAATGTTCAATAAATAATTGCTTTCATTTGATCAAATGAAACACTGAGAAGGTGACCCTAATTGGCAAGTTCCTCTTTATTGACAAGGCAGAAATATTGCTCGTGGGTAGGCC